TATGTGTCATAATATAAGACACTAGCGTCACATGTTGATATTCAGTCATGTTACAATGTTGCAGCCTCACGTCGATATATGTCATAATATAAGACACTAGCGTCACATGTTGATTTTCCGCTATGTTACAATGTTCTAGACTCACGTCGATATATGTCATAATATAAGACACTAGCGTCACATGTTGATATTCCGTCATGTTACAATGTACTAGCCTCACGTCGATATGTCATAATATAAGACACTAGCGTCACATGTTGATATTCAGTCATGTTACAATGTTCTAGCCTCACGTCGATATATGTCATAATATAAGACACTAGCGTCACATGTTGATATTCAGTCATGTTACAATGTACTAGCCTCACGTCGATATGTGTCATAATATAAGACACTAGCGTCACATGTTCATATTCTGTCATGTTACAATGTACTAGCCTCACGTCGATATATGTCATAATATAAGACAATAGCGTCACATGTTGATATTCCGTCATGTTACAATGTACTAGCCTCACGTCGATATGTTTCATAATATAAGACACTAGCGTCACATGTTCATATTCCGTCATGTTACAATGTTGTAGCCTCACGTCGATATATGTCATAATATAAGACACTAGCGTCACATGTTGATATTCCGTCACGTTACAATGTTCTAGACTCAAGTCGATATATGTCATAATATAAGACACTAGCGTCACATGTTCATATTCCGTCATGTTACAATGTTCTAGCCTCACGTCGATATGTGTCATAATATAAGACACTAGCGTCACATGTTGATATTCAGTCATGTTACAATGTTGCAGCCTCACGTCGATATATGTCATAATATAAGACACTAGCGTCACATATTGATTTTCCGCTATGTTACAATGTTCTAGACTCACGTCGATATATGTCATAATATAAGACACTAGCGTCACATGTTGATATTCCGTCATGTTACAATGTACTAGCCTCACGTCGATATGTCATAATATAAGACACTAGCGTCACATGTTGATATTCAGTCATGTTACAATGTTCTAGCCTCACGTCGATATATGTCATAATATAAGACACTAGCGTCACATGTTGATATTCAGTCATGTTACAATGTTCTAGCCTCACGTCGATATATGTCATAATATAAGACACTAGCGTCACATGTTGATATTCAGTCATGTTACAATGTACTAGCCTCACGTCGATATGTGTCATAATATAAGACACTAGCGTCACATGTTCATATTCTGTCATGTTACAATGTACTAGCCTCACGTCGATATATGTCATAATATAAGACAATAGCGTCACATGTTCATATTCCGTCATGTTACAATGTACTAGCCTCACGTCGATATATGTCATAATATAGGACTCTATCGTCACATGTTGATATTCCGTCATGTTACAATGTACTAGCCTCACGTCGATATGTGTCGTAATATAAGACACTAGCGTCACATGTTGATATTTCGTCATGTTACAATGTACTAGCCTCACGTCGATATATGTCATAATATAGGACACTATCGTCACATGTTGATATTCCGTCATGTTACAATGTACTAGCCTCACGTCGATATGTGTCATAATATAAGACACTAGCGTCACATGTTGATATTCCGTTATGTTACAATGTACTAGCCTCACGTCGATATATGTCATAATATAAGACACTAGCGTCACATGTTGATATTCCACCATGTTACAATGTTCTAGCCTCACGTCGATATGTGTCATAATATAAGACACTAGCGTCACATGTTGATATTCAGTCATGTTACAATGTTCTAGCCTCACGTCGATATATGTCATAATATAAGACACTAGCGTCACATGTTGATATTCCGTCACGTTACAATGTTCTAGCCTCAAGTCGATATGTGTCATAATATAAGACACTAGCGTCACATGTTGATATTCCGTCACGTTACAATGTTCTAGCCTCAAGTCGATATGTGTCATAATATAAGACACTAGCGTCACATGTTGATATTCCGTTATGTTACAATGTACTAGCCTCACGTCGATATATGTCATAATATAAGACACTAGCATCACATGTTGATATTCCGTCACGTTACAATGTTCTAGCCTCAAGTCGATATGTGTCATAATATAAGACACTAGCGTCACATGTTGATATTCCGTCATGTTACAATGTACTAGCCTCACGTCGATATATGTCATAATATAAGACACTAGCGTCACATGTTGATATTCAGTCATGTTACAATGTTCTAGCCTCACGTCGATATGTGTCATAATATAAGACACTAGCGTCACATGTTGATATTCAGTCATGTTACAATGTTCTAGCCTCACGTCGATATATGTCATAATATAAGACACTAGCGTCACATGTTGATATTCAGTCATGTTACAATGTACTAGCCTCACGTCGATATGTGTGATAATATAAGACACTAGCGTCACATGTTCATATTCTGTCATGTTACAATGTACTAGCCTCACGTCGATATATGTCATAATATAAGACACTAGCGTCACATGTTGATATTCAGTCATGTTACAATGTTCTAGCCTCACGTCGATATATGTCATAATATAAGACACTAGCGTCACATGTTGATATTCAGTCATGTTACAATGTACTAGCCTCACGTCGATATGTGTCATAATATAAGACACTAGCGTCACATGTTCATATTCTGTCATGTTACAATGTACTAGCCTCACGTCGATATATGTCATAATATAAGACAATAGCGTCACATGTTGATATTCCGTCATGTTACAATGTACTAGCCTCACGTCGATATGTTTCATAATATAAGACACTAGCGTCACATGTTCATATTCCGTCATGTTACAATGTACTAGCCTCACGTCGATATGTCATAATATAAGACACTAGCGTCACATGTTGATATTCAGTCATGTTACAATGTACTAGCCTCACGTCGATATGTTTCATAATATAAGACAATAGCGTCACATGTTGATATTCCGTCATGTTACAATGTACTAGCCTCACGTCGATATTTCATAATATAAGACACTAGCGTCACATGTTGATATTCCGCCATGTTACAATGTACTAGCCTCACGTCGATATATTTCATAATATAAGACACTAGCGTCACATGTTGATATTCCGTCATGTTACAATGTACTAGCCTCACGTCGATATACGTCATAATATAGGACACTAGCGTCACATGTTGATATTCCGTCATGTTACAATGTACTAGCCTCACGTCGATATGTGTCATAATATAAGACACTAGCGTCACATGTTGATATTCCACCATGTTACAATGTACTAGCCTCACGTCGATATGTGTGATAATATAAGACACTAGCGTCACATGTTGATATTCCGCCATGTTACAATGTACTAGCCTCACGTCGATATGTGTGATAATATAAGACACTAGCGTCACATGTTGATATTCCGTCATGTTACAATGTACTAGCCTCACGTCGATAAGTGTCATAATATAAGACACTAGCGTCACATGTTGATATTCCGTCATGTTACAATGTACTAGCCTCACGTCGATATGTGTCATAATATAAGACACTAGCGTCACATGTTGATATTCAGTCATGTTACAATGTTCTAGCCTCACGTCGATATATGTCATAATATAAGACACTAGCGTCACATATTGATATTCCGCTATGTTACAATGTTCTAGACTCACGTCGATATATGTCATAATATAAGACACTAGCGTCACATGTTGATATTCCGTTATGTTACAATGTACTAGCCTCACGTCGATATGTGTGATAATATAAGACACTAGCGTCACATGTTGATATTCCACCATGTTACAATGTACTAGCCTCACGTCGATATGTGTGATAATATAAGACACTAGCGTCACGTGTTGATATTCCGTCATGTTACAATGTACTAGCCTCACGTCGATATATGTCATAATATAAGACACTAGCGTCACGTGTTGATATTCCGTCATGTTACAATGTACTGGCCTCACGTCGATATGTCATAATATAAGACACTAGCGTCACATGTTGATATTCCGTTATGTTACAATGTCCTAGCCTCACGTCGATATATGTCATAATATAAGACACTAGTGTCAAATGTTCATATTCCGCCATGTTACAATGTACTAGCCTCACGTCGATATATGTCATAATATAAGACACTAGCGTCACATGTTGATATTCCGTCATGTTACAATGTACTAGCCTCACGTTGATATGTGACATAATATAAGACACTAGCGTCACATGTTGATATTCCGTCATGTTACAATGTACTGGCCTCACGTCGATATGTCATAATATAAGACACAAGCGTCACATGTTGATATTCAGTCATATTACAATGTACTAGCCTCACGTCGATATGTGTGATAATATAAGACACTAGCGTCACATGTTGATATTCCGTTATGGTATAATGTACTAGCCTCACGTCGATATATGTCATAATATAAGACACTAGCGTCACATGTTGATATTCCGTTATGTTACAATGTACTAGCCTCACGTCGATATGTGTCATAATATAAGACACTAGCGTCACATGTTGATATTCCGTCATGTTACAATGTACTAGCCTCAAGTCGATATGTGTCATAATATAAGACACTAGCGTCACATGTTGATATTCCGTTATGTTGCAATGTACTAGCCTCACGACGATATGTGTCATAATATAAGACACTAGCGTCACATGTTGATATTCCGTTATGTTACAATGTATTAGCCTCACGTTGATATGTGTCATAATATAAGACACTAGCGTCACATGTTGATATTACATCACAATGTAAATAGCGCCAAAACCCTGTAAGAAACGTGTAGATGTGACAAAAGATACTTGGCGTGATACGGCTGGGATAATTCATATGCGGCACAAAGCTCACTCACTCACAATACGGTGTGATAGGGTCACATGCTCTGACGTTGACTTTGGTGGATGACACATGTAGGATGCCTGGCGGTATAGGTGTTCCTGACATGTGCAAAGTGTTTCAGGTTATAGAGGTCAGACCACAAATATGGACTTTGAACAATATATTCAGAAATGATATGTAAATAAATGACGTCATGGAATTCAATCTTCATAGTAAAGTCAATATCTGGTCCCTGCCCCATGAGCATCGATGCAGGCACGACATCTTCTGGGCACACTCATATCAAACGCCGGATTGTTTCCTTTTGTATCCTTAGCCATTCTCCTTGTAAGGTCTGCCCAAGCTGTTGCAAATTCTGATACCGCTGAGGTCGGTTGTGAACCCTTCGGCCCAGAGCATCCCAAAGGTGTTCAATCGGTGACATGTCTGGAGATTTGGCTGGTCAGGGCAAAGTTGTCACACATTGCTGCCTCAGACAGTGGACTGCATCACGCCCTCTGCGAGGACCACAAACCACAGCGCACAGCCCCTGTGTCCCACAGTCAGACGCATTCCTCGCGAAGTATATTTTGATTTCAGATCCGCAGTTTTCAGTCTGTCTCGTATCGTTGACGTCATGAGTCGGATTCCTGTGGCAGCCTGAAGTTGTCCCTCAGTTCTGATGCAGAACTGAATCTGTTCCTCTTATTCTGTATTCTGTATTATTATACAGAAATGACAGGGGTCCTTTAAATAGTATTCCTAGTATATAACTGCACTGTATTATTGTAATGTACATTTTGCAGCATAGAGTCTTTAAAGTGACTTCTGTAATTATGATGAAATTGAAGATCATCCCACATGTAACACGGATCTTTTGCATGATGTCATGTTTTATTATACCACGTCGAACACAGGGTCACATGTTGGCGTAGACGTTGTTGCCGCAGATGTATTCCCTCGCCACGTGATAGCAGTACTTGTAGTCAGCCTGCAAAACAAACGGGGTAACATAATTCACCACATCCCCGAAGTGTCCATTGCTACTACAGAACTACTTCCTGCTGACAACGAACAGCATCAGACATGACAGTCGGTGATGTCGTGTTTCAAATTGCACAGTGGCAGTTGGAATGACAAACAAGACGACAGGCAAATGAATTCTTTAATGCCTACAATTAATCCAGGTCATATCAACAACTTACATTTCGTGTTTTTTATTATCAATAAGATTGCATTCATATTTCGATACAGAAAATGGGTTATAGAATCTTCCGCCTTTTTAGGCTGTGATTTTAGTTTCTCTCACTGAAAATTAATTCGATATTTCATGGCATTCAACATGTGAAAGTTCATGCTCAGTTGGTCTCCAGACTCGGATGTGTATCATTGCTCTATTTGATCGTCCTCTGCTTTGATATAAACTCGCATGTCATTCGTATGATACGGAAGAGAGGATGAAAGGTTAAATCATATTGAGAGGAAACAAAGCCTATCGGAAAGGAAGGGAAATTACAATGTTATTCAGCCTTTGGACCAACAATATTTACAGGTCTTTACAGTGTTGTCACAACCCCCAGCATACAGTACATACACCCTGTGAACTCAAAAAGAACCCACTCGTCCGATAGTTGATGACAAGATGGTGGAAACACGAATACGAACATACACCCGAAACACAAGTGTCAAAACGTGTGGTGTCATCCTGGGCAAGTGACTTAGTTCAAATGTGCCTCTGTTCACCCAGCAGGGAATGGGTACCAGATATAGGAGGTGGATGTAAAACCTTCTAGCGCCCCTAGGCAGCATGGGTTGTATACTCCCCGGGGAGTTGAGAACGATAACTAGAATATAAACGGATCCACTGGTCGGGGAGCAAATAAAACCGCATGTGAGCAGATACTAGTACATTGATACCTGCAGTATATACATGTATATTATTATAATAACAATAATAACAAGAGTTTGCCACTAACGTGGCTATATCCCCCGCCCTTGTTGCAGAATTTATGACATAATTAAATCTTAACAAACCCTAACCTTTTTTAACCGAGGTGGAACTTGTCATGGAAATAGTAAGTGAGAGGAAACAAAGGAAAGGGAATTACAATACAGCATATTACAATATGCGAGCATGTGAGTGATCTGATCTCAAAGCCGCTTAGAAAACTGTATCGTATTTAAGTCGCGGCATGTTCGCGTAATGTAGGAGGAATAGGAAAGTGACGTAGGTCGTAGGCGTTAACAACTGCGCTGTAACTCAAGAGCACGGATATTGTGCTGATCACGAATGACCATGGGTAATTGCGGTGAACTGTGGCCTGAAACGGTACATCAGCGGATCCTGGCTCTCCTCGCCACACGGTGCCCTAATCCGCGGGACCACACGTGCTGCTTCAACAGATTCAAGTTGTACTTACGAAAGATTGTATAAACTGTGGCCTGGCCAACTGCAGCTCCCTGATGGTCAGATAGATGTCCAACACAGAGTCCAGCTTCAATCGACTGATGGTGTTCAGGACACCGCAGAACACCCCACACATCCGGGCACCGTCACTGAAATAGAGAGTTACATATGGGATTTGGCTTTAAGAAGTTGAATTTATTTTCTTAAACTCTGAAATGTCCCTTTGTATGTACGACATATACAGTGGAACCCGGTTAAACCGGCCGATACCGTCTGTATTATCGAAATTTTGGATAAACGAATGATTGTTAAGGAATACATCCCTTGCTGACATGTATATAACATTGATCGTTTTCTAGTTTCCCGTTAAAGTGTTTTTGTCTTCGACACACACTATTTAGATGAGAGGTAAACATGAGAAGCTCACGAGCAGTGTACAAGGACCTTGTGCTGGACATCACAGACAACGTCGGCCACTCTGCTGACCAGCTCCAGCAACCCATCCGGATCACGTGACAGACATACAGACAGCGACTGGAGACTCAGGACAGTGATAGTCTGACAAGAACCCTGTAGTTCAAAGGTTGATGACAAAAGTACATGTAGGTCTGCATAGATTTGTAATAATGTTTTCGTGATATTGACCGATAATAAAGAGTATTAGAATCATGTTTGTTAAAGTATACGTCGTCGTACGTAGATATAATATGAGTACATATGTCCAAATCTGACTAGGTAAATGACACGTATACATGTATCTATCACTGTTCGCCAGAATCACACAGTTCCTACAGTTTGAGCTGTTTAACTCCCCAGTACACTAAATCACATTGCATGAAATTATAGTTATTGTGTTGAAAACAATTTATACTATTAGCCCTCTTCCCGAGGCAGGTGTGTCCACTAGCCTACAGGGGCGGTCGGGTAGCCTGGTGGATAAAGCGTTCGCTCGTCACGCTGAAGACCCGGGTTCGATTCCCGACATGGGTACAATGTGTGAAGCCTATTTCTGGTGTCCCCGCCGTGATATTGCTGGAATATTGCTAAAAGCGGCGTTAAACCATACTCACTCACCCACTCACTAGCCTATATCAAAGGCTAGTTTCTACAAGACTTTGATAAAAAGGCTAGTGGACGCTCTTGCCCCGGGAAGATGACTATTGGCTCAACTACTATACTTACAACGTACATTGCATTATAGTTTACAATTTACATAGTTGTGTCTGACTGAAATATGGTCTCATTATTTGGAACATTGTTACGTCAACGAACCTGTTTAGTATTGTTCAGTATCAGTTTCCTCTCTGTAATGCTGTCCATACTTCGTTCTTCTGAGTGTTCAATTACAAATGGTCCGGCTTCCATAGATAGAGGTCCCTTGGAATTTGGATACATTATCTCAATATCCTTCAAACATAAACGTGTATTTGTCTTAAAAACATAATACATCATACAAAAAATCTCATAATCATAATCAACACACACACACACACACACACACACACACACACACACACACACACACACACACACACACACACACACACACACACACATACACGGTATTGGTACTGGTATGAAAGATAAACGTCGTAATTATATTTACTGTCAACAATATAAAACGGCACACTATGCTATACGTGTTTGTCTACATAGATAATCATCACTGACCCCAGACACGACACAGATAATTATACGCCCATGTCACCGACCGCATAAGGATATTTTATTTCAGTACTGCCCACTGAGCTTAATAGGTTTTGTTTGATACTGATTTGCCATTTCGTTCTAATTATCTCACACGGTTTCCATTGTCCCATAGCAACGTGACTTCGTATGAACAAATTGAAGATTGATTGAAGATGACGTCATGCATTAACATTTTTAAGTTGATAATGTCATTAACATCTTGACCCGAAACCTGCCAGGAGGCTTTGACAGCTCGGTAAACTCGTGTCAGTATGTTTGCTAGTTGAATACCATCTCCATATTCTGTTCGTCCAACAAAGGATTCCCTCCCCTTTTTGCAAACTCTATCACTCTATCACTACAGTGATTTTACCAACTCCACAATTCTGACAGTATCGCAGATGGTTATTCAGTAGACAGCCATGTTTGTTTACATAAACAGTGGCCTGGTGAAACCCCGCTTCATACATAGGACACCCCTTCGCACGTATTCGCAACATTAGGCAATAGGGTATTAAGCAAGTCGGTGTCGCATCCATGTATGGAGCTTATAGAAATTAGTTGCTATTAGATGAGCTCATGTTCGTATGTAATGCTTCGTGACACCAAGTTTATGGGATTGGGTAATCGCATCCATAACAATATCCATTACACCATTAATATGATATATTCAATGACGTGAAACAAGAGAACAACTGCACAGAGTGAGTGAGTGAGCGAGTATGGTCTAACGCCGCTTTTAGCAATGTTCCAGCAATATCACGGCGGGGGACACCCGAAATGGGCTTCACATATTGTACCCATGTCGGGAATCGAACCCGGGTCTTCCCCACAACCGCAAAGATGTGTAGGGTGTTCACATTACCTGTGAATCATCCAGACACACAATGGTGAAGCAGTCATGATCGTGCACCAGTCTCCAGAAGTCCACCACGGTGTTCTCCATGGGCGTCTGAGTAGCGATCAGCATGGAGGACCTCATCACGGACTGGCGGTGGAGGAAATATATATTTTGAGGAAACTGGATGATATGTTCAAACTTCACATAAAAAAATCGTTGAAAGTTGGAACATGAGTATTATTTCTTTGTGAGTCGGTAAAGCAGCGTTCCTATGTCATGTAAACTACTACGATGGTTACTGGTCACTTGAATGATGAGTGTAAAACACAAATAAGTGAGGTCGACATACCGGTAGAAGTACAGCGTTGATGTAATTGTTGTAGCCTTCAACCGGTGTTGACAAATACGGTCGAGACTTGTTACCTGCAATATATACATATTCTATTTGACGTTACAAACAGCACAGTTGTAAGTTGCATCAGATGCTGATACTAATATAGGCAGAAGGACATCCTCTTACGTGACATCTCATACCTGGAAGGATGGTCTTATTCCTTGGAACGTTTTCAGGAAGAAGAGCATCGGACACGTCTTTCTTCTCCAAGTGTGGTCTTTGAGTATGCAACATCTAGAAAAACATAACTCAACACATACTAGTTTTGTTTGTTTGTTTGTTGTTTAACGCCGCATTCAGCAATATTCCAGCTTTATGACGGCGGTCTGTAAATTATCGAGCCATACAACCAGACAATCCAGTGATTGACATCATGAGCATCGATCCACGCAATTGTGATGCGATGACATGCATGAACCAAGTCAGCGAGTCTGACCACCCGGTCCCGTTAGTCGCCACTTACGACAAGCATAGTCACCTTTTTACGGCAAGCATGGGTTGCTGAAGACCTATTCTACCCCGACTCTTCACAGGTACTAGTCACATACTAGTCACGCCTCAGTAAGCCTATATTGCACCTCTATCAGGGCGGGTACAATGTGATGCTTGTCGTTGTTTTCTATACGACAATAATATACTTATTGAAACTCCAGGTAGAACCTATGTGTTTACTTTGGACACCTTGGGTCATAAGAATGCAGACATACACGTGTACTTATTATTTTTTTATGAAGCTAATTTAACAACAGATTTTTTCTGTACGATATGTTCATTTCAGAGACTAGATGTTAGTCTATGTGATTGTGTATGGGGTTAATGTGTCAGCGCATTTTAACCTTTGACAAGTATCAAATGTAAACATAGAGACGTTTCATGTTGACAATGTGATTCTTAAATAAAATAAATCGTGCCTTTCCGGGCCACTATGACCTAAGCCTTAACGAATGTCACGAATTTGATATTTCAAACCTTAAATTCCTTCTTCAGCTTTGAGTTTAAATTTCTGTTGTTTAGACACTCAAACATCTGCTGAAACTCTGCAAGGGTGTAGCACGTGCCTCTACTATTGACAGCCTCCAGCACCACCAGGTGGAGGAACTCGTACTGATGCTGGTGATGGAGAAACAGAAGGATCCATATCATATCATATCATATCTATATCCATATCTATGTCAATATCTATATCTATATCTATACCAATATCATATCATATCATACCCATAGATATCCATATCCATATCCATATCTATATCTATATCCATATCCATATCATAATCATGGACCCGTGAAGATCCAGGGTAGAATAGGTCTTCAGCAACCCATGCTTGCCGTAAAAGGCGACTATGCTTGTCGTAAAAGGCGACTAACGGGATGGGATGGTCAGGCTCGCTGACTTGGTCTATCCATCTATACCCATATCATAGCTTTATCCATATAACACGTCCCATTTTAATTCTGGAAACCCAAAAGTCCAGAAACTCTACGCTCTTTCCCCAGTCTCGGTTAAAGGTATTTACAAAATTAAACATGCCGTTTTCATGGGAACATACCAAGGAAGAAAAAATGAAAAAAAAATTGTTTAAAAACTCAATATTTAGATTATGTCGCCCATGGGCCTGCCCATGGGCGAAGTGTGGCCCATGGGCCTGCCCATGGGCGAAGTCTGGCCCATGGGTAGGCCCATGGGCAGGCCCATGGGCGAGAATATGTTCCTTTACTTAAAACTCATGTTTTTGTTTCGCAAATACATTTAATGTATTTATTGAAGTATCATGACACAAAATTTAACTCATTTTAACTTAATTCAACGATTTTATAGCAATATTGAAATATTTCGCCCATGGGCGAGAAAAAGGTTTGGCCCATGGGCGAGAATATGTTCCTTTACTTAAAACTCATGATTTTGTTTCGCAAATACATTAAATGTATTTATTGAAGTATCATGACACAAAATTTAACTCATTTTAACTTAATTCAACGATTTTATAGCGATATTGAAATATTTCGCCCATGGGCGAGAAAAAGGTTTGGCCCATGGGCGAGAACATGTTCCTTTACTTAAAACTCATGATTTTGTTTCGCAAATACATTAAATGTATTTATTGAAGTATCATGACACAAAATTTAACTCATTTTAACTTAATTCAACTATTTTATAGCGATATTGAAATATTTCGCCCATGGGCGAGAAAAAGGTTTGGCCCATGGGTAGGCCCATGGGTAGGCCCATGGGCAGGCCCATGGGCGAGAATATGTTCCTTTACTTAAAACTCATGATTTTGTTTCGCAAATACATTTAATGTATTTATTGAAGTATCATGACACAAAATTTAACTCATTTTAACTTAATTCAACGATTTTATAGCGATATTGAAATATTTCGCCCATGGGCGAGAAAAAGGTTTGGCCCATGGGCGAGAATATGTTCCTTTACTTAAAACTCATGATTTTGTTTCGCAAATACATTTAATGTATTTATTGAAGTATCATGACACAAAATTTAACTCATTTTAACTTAATTCAACGATTTTATAGCGATATTGAAATATTTCGCCCATGGGCGAGAAAAAGGTTTGGCCCATGGGCGAGAATATGTTCCTTTACTTAAAACTCATGATTTTGTTTCGCAAATACATTAAATGTATTTATTGAAGTATCATGACACAAAATTTAACTCATTTTAACTTAATTCAACTATTTTATAGCGATATTGAAATATTTCGCCCATGGGCGAGAAAAAGGTTTGGCCCATGGGCAGGCCCATGGGCGAGAACATGTTCCTTTACTCAAAACTCATGTTTTTGTAGCGATCTTTAATGAACCCGGCCTTACCTCTCAAAACGTTTTGACAGTTTATCATACGAATTCATGTGCGTGTACTCCAATTCATTGGAGTTATTTTCCACAACATTAAATTTTAGTTAGTTTCTATTTCATTTCCCGTTTTTTATGTCCCGTTGATACATCACACTGGGCAATTACGTGACACTAGGTATGCAATATACAGGTACGCGTGCGCGTATTTTAATGAAAAAAACTATTCGTCTTTTATTGCATAACCTTTGGCTAAATATCTTACATTCTAACGAAATCTCGAAATAATTATTTAATTACAAGCAGTGTCGAACTGACCAGTAGGAATTATGTTTCAATGCGATTGAGGAAAACGTGAGTGAATATTGTGACACTAAAGCAACTTTTAACTGCATTGTCACTTTTGGTATGAAAATGGTAATAGTTAAGAAAAACGTAACAGCCTTCTTATGATAATTCTCATATTCTCATTAGTACGTTGTGTCTAATTACAGTGTCGGCCTTATTTACAGGTGATTCTACAATACTTGTTGTCAGTCAATTACAATCTGCCACACCACGCGTGAATAAACAGTTATGCAGGTGTTGCTGTGGGCAAATACCTAGCCTGTACATGTATATTTTTGTGGATACATGTATTACATATTTTCGTTGATATGTGGATATATTAAGCACCAAGACACAAAAAGTTTATGAAAGATGAATTTGTGCCTTGATATATATATTCAACGCGAACGATGCTTGTATTATCTCCGCGATCCTGATGTGTATCATCGTTTAATTGGTTTTTCATTAAAAGTATGTTGTGAGGCGATATCAAAGGAGCCGCTCAATATACACAGTGTCGTCCGTTTCGCGTGAACTACCACCCTACCCTGTCAGTAAGAGTTATGTAATCGGTACACAAATATATTTGGTGCGATGTCAGTGTGGAAGGAGTTTGAATTACGTCCGCCAGTGGCCACAGAAAGTATAGTACCAATCAACAAGGCCAATGCCGTACTAATAACCTAGTGACTCTCGTAACAACGGCTGTCAATATGTCTGCTACATCTACCATACCATCATCCCTGTCACAACTGGCGTATTAACGGTTTATTCAACAAATTATTGTAGAAATGTCGTTACCAGACTAACGTACGTCGTATTCAGTCCTCAACTGGATGTCACATTCCTTATATCAGTTAACAGCCCTGTTTGTGAAAATATTTACTAGACATAAGATTTAAAGACTAATAAAATCAATTGTAAGACCGCATAGACCATAAAACCGAACAAAATATGTCTTGGTATCATCTCTTGTGTATTAGATGATGGCAATGACCGGAAATGTTATAACGTTAGATTAAGAAGGAGAAACATTAATGTGTTTTACAATACTTGGAAACATGAGCAATAAGATGTAGCAACATAAACATGCATGGAATAGGGACAAAGGATGAAAACAAATTGAAAAGGATTTTAATACAAAATTAATCGAACTAAATAACTTGCCTGAACAGAAGGGGTACCCAAACTTGTTTGACAGTTATTCGTGTGTTGTAGACTGTCGAATGGGACTCATGTGTGTACGTAGCGTACGCATATCTATTGCAAGTTTTAGTACTCATACACTTTCTCTTTTTGTGTTTTGTTTGTTTGTTAGTTGTATAACGCCACACTTAGCAATATTTCAGCTGTATGACGGCGGTCTGTAAATAATCGAGTCTGGACCAGACAATCCAGTGATTGACATCATGTGCATCGATCCACGCAATTGGGATACGATGACATGCATCAACCAAGTCAGCGAGCCTGACCACCCGATCCCGGTAGTCGCTTCTTACGACAAGCGCTGTCGCCCTTTTACGCCAAGAATGGTTTGTTGAAGATCTTCACGGGTCTATTGAATGCAGGGATTTGTATAAAGTCATCAGACAGCATACAATGCCACCTAAAAATTATACTCAGTGTCTCCGCAAAGTAATATAGTACGGTACTTAGAGTACATGTGAGATTATACTCAGATTAGGGAGATGTTTAATCCATATAACGTGTTATTATTCTACCTAACAATGTATTTAATGAAATGAATGCAAAACAAACTCAACGGCTAAAAGGTTTCATTGAAAAAACTACCCCTAGTCTTGACTAATAAAACAACTGCAACCCGACACAGATTAAACGCAACTTACAAACACAATCATAATCTGGTTAGTCTGTATCACTCAACGAGGCCGCTTACTCTGCCCACAGTATGACAGTATTGGGCAGTTCAGTAATTAGGAGCCAAAACCAGACAGGTACGCTGGTCACACTTGACTGGTCTGACTGATGATTAGGTCGTCTGACAATTGGGAGTGAACCATAGCAAGAAGTATCTGCGAAACTATTTGCTCCTTTTATGGGACCGATTAGTTTTATGACCATGGGCCTCGGCACAAGCGTGGTGTTGGAAGACAAGTTATACATGTACATCCGATATGGTGACTGTTTTTCGCTATTCATATTCTAAATACATTCATAATACCACAACAATAGTACTCCTTGAAACTTTACAATCACTTCAATATGTACAATAGATTGAACGAGAACACTTGATATATTGCAGATTATTAAATCATTGTCTCTATTATCAGCCGCTACGTCCGATCGTTTGCATTGTACAAAGAAATATTTTATCTGTCCTTTTGCAGATTTAGCCTCAGAATGTGCTCATTCGAATTAGGAACGAAAATAATTGCTTGTCGTGAGTATATATGATACAGTTAAAAGTTACTTGTACACTGTAGACGTATTCACTTTAAAGTCGCATACGACCTTCGCGAGCGAGTTGAATGATCCAGGTTAATTGGAACGAAGTCTAGAAAGGGTTATAAAGTTTTGTATTTGGTAATGTGTAGGTTTGTTAAATATGATTTTTTAAATTCCTTTTATTTCAATATGTAAAAACATAACTATGCGCTTAAAAACAGAGCTGACTTGATGGGAGATAGCCACCTCAGTTTGTCTGTTGGACACGGTTTAACCTTACTGTGTCCTCACCCTGGTTGTTGTTACCGTTGTTATAAGGGATTAAGAGCTACGGCTCATTGCATTTTTGGTTACAGTCTGTATCACTAAAGTGGACATGTGCAGGTGAACTCTGTTCAATTAGTATATGAAATGCCCCAAAATGTGAACTCCAGACAATAATAACCTGAGGGTAAATCCACGTGCGTCTGCCTTTCCCCTCGTTCACCTTCGAAATCCTTGATTATTATATCATGCCAGAGTTCTGAAATTCAGTGACAATGTTGCTGAACAGTAGAATCTGATGGACGTTTTGTGCAGAACCTGTTTGACACTATGGGTTCCAGGACCACTAACACTCTGAGCTGAAAAAGTTTGGTCCTAACCGCACCCAACATCTACAAGTTTGTAAGCTTATAGACATCATTAAGAAGTAATTAACAGTCCCATGCTGAGACCTTTCTCAAAATTCAGACCGGTGGCAGGCTGCCAACAAAGAGAAGAAAATAGCGCAACCCCGACACGAGTGTGCTCAGTCAAACAATGAACTTACGACCGGCAGAACACAACTCCAGTTGAGTATGCCGATGCTGTATCTCATGCTAAACATGCTAATTAAATCCAAAATCGTATAATTATTTTTAATAGAAACCGTATCTTAATTTGTTCTTGCACTGCATCATATCGTGTATTTCATCTGTATATGTGTAATGTGTATATGTATCAATGACTACACTTATACCGCATATTCTGCAACAGACTATAATTAATCACCTTATTATTGTCTCTCTATTTACCATGGCTGACTGCACTAATACCCTTTTAACAGTGGACACCGATATCAGTATACATGTAGGCTTTTTGTTCAAAAAGGAATATGCAGGAAATTATATGTAACAATTAACTGTGTACTAATTACATGTTTGAATGTTATCAGTTTTACGTTCTGAGATACAGTGATGTAAGCATCTTCTAAAATCTTCTAAAAATATAATAAAATACAAAACTCTCTGCCGTAATTTTTGTGTGGAAATCATTCGATCAAGTAAAAATGACTGCGTGACAAGACGAATCAACTATTTATACCCGATAAAAGAAACTGCCGTATTTTAGGAACAGTGCTACAACAAGACATTTGAAATTTCTAACAAGCAGATACATTAGAGACAGTTACTAGACTACAGGTACGTAATCCGTATCAATCAAAGGTGTAAAAAAATGAAAATCATATCTGTAGGAGATCTACCAAATTACCAAGTTTTATCATTACTATATTTATTACAATGCAGACACTATAGTGATACATTTTGTAGAGGAGAGGGCATACACACAAGTATATTGCTTCCGTGTGTGAATGCAGGTTGTACTTGGTATCTAAGTTCTCAGTTTCATACCGGTTGTATAACTGAATTTGCATATGGAACCATGCGTACAGCATGACAATTACTTGCTATTCGTCAGTTTACAACACACATAACACGGTCAAACAATTTTAGGCACCGCTTTTGCGAGTTATTTAGTACAATAATGTTTTATTAAAATCTATTTCAATTTGTTTTCACCATTTTCCCTATTGACAGTCGTTGTTACGTGCGTCACTAGGTAATTAGTACGGATTGACCTTGTTTATTGTTTCTATACTTTGAGGATTTCTGTGGCAAGTGGCGGACGTAATTCAAACTCCTTCCGCACTGACACCGCATCAAATATATTTGTGTACCGATTACATAACTCTAATGGACAGGGTGGGTTGGTAGTTCACCGGACGACACTGTGTATATTGGGCGGCTCCTTTGATATCTCCTCCAAACATACGTTTATTGAATGACCCCATTAAACGATGATACACATCTCGATGAATATATCAAGGCACTAATTCATCTTTCATAAACATTTTTTTGTCTTTGTGCTTAATATATCCACATATCAACGAACATTTGTAAAACATGTATCCTAAAAAAAATAAACATTTTCAGGCTAGGTATTTGCCCACAGCAACACCTGCAGAACTGTTTATTCACGCGTGGTGTGGTAGATCGTAATTGACCGAGAGCAGGTATTGTAGAATCACCTGTAAATAAGGCCGACACTGTAATTAGATACAACGTACTAATGAGAATTATCATAAGAAGGCTGTTGTTTTTTCTGAACTGTTACCATTTTCATACCAAAAGTGACAATGCAGTTAAAAGTTGCTTTAGTGTCACAATATTCACTCACGTTTTCCTCAATCGCATTAAAACATAATTCCCACTGGTCAGTTCGAAACCGCATGTAATTAAATAATTATTTCGAGATTTCGTTAGAATGTAAGATATTCAGCCAAACGTTATGCAATAAAAGACGAATAGTTTTTTTCATTAAAATACGCGCACGCGTACCTGTATATTGCATACCTAGTGTCACGTAATTGCCCAGTGTGATGTATCAACGGGACATAAAACGGGAAATGAAATATAAACTAACTAAAATTTAATGTTGTGGAAAACAACTCCAATGAATTGGAGTACACGCACATGAATTCGTATGATAAACTGTCAAAACGTTTTGAGAGGTAAGGCCGGGTTCATTAAAGATTGCTACAATATGTAAAACAGGTGAAATTTGTAGAACTAAAGGAAACATCCAACCAAATGCCCTTTTTAAATAGTAATGTAATGATATAATATAAAGTATATTTCACATGATACAATATACTTTGCAAACAGTTAGTTGATGCTTGAAAGGGACTGACGAAAACATGGGCGAAATATTTTAATAACGCCGTAAAATAGTTGAATTAAGTAAAAATTAGTTAAATATTGTGTCATGATACTTGAATAAATACATTTAATGTATTTGCGAAACAAAAACATGAGTTTTAAGTAAAGGAACATGTTCTCGCCCATGGGCCTGCCCATGGGCCAAACCTTTTCTCGCCCATGGGCGAAATATTTCAATATCGCTATAAAATAGTTGAATTAAGTTAAAATGAGTTAAATTTGGTGTCATGGTACTTGAATGAATACATTAAATGTATTTGCGAAACAAAAACATGAGTTTTAAGTAAAGGAACATATTCTCGCCCATGGGCCTGCCCATGGGCCTACCCATGGGCCTACCCATGGGCCAAACCTTTTTCTCGCCCATGGGCGAAATATTTCAATATCGCTATAAAATAGTTGAATAAAGTTAAAATGAGTTAAATTTTGTGTCATGATACTTCAATGAATACATTAAATGTATTTGCGAAACAAAAACATGAGTTTTAAGTAAAGGAACATGTTCTCGCCCATGGGCCTGCCCATGGGCCAAACCTTTTCTCGCCCATGGGCGAAATATTTCAATATCGCTATAAAATAGTTGAATTAAGTTAAAATGAGTTAAATTTGGTGTCATGGTACTTGAATGAATACATTAAATGTATTTGCGAAACAAAAACATGAGTTTTAAGTAAAGGAACATATTCTCGCCCATGGGCCTACCCATGGGCCAAACCTTTTTCTCGCCCATGGGCGAAATATTTCAATATCGCTATAAAATAGTTGAATAAAGTTAAAATGAGTTAAATTTTGTGTCATGATACTTCAATGAATACATTAAATGTATTTGCGAAACAAAAACATGAGTTTTAAGTAAAGGAACATGTTCTCGCCCATGGGCCTGCCCATGGGCCTGCCCATGGGCCAAACCTTTTCTCGCCCATGGGCGAAATATTTCAATATCGCTATAAAATAGTTGAATTAAGTTAAAATGAGTTAAATTTGGTGTCATGGTACTTGAATGAATACATTAAATGTATTTGCGAAACAAAAACATGAGTTTTAAGTAAAGGAACATATTCTCGCCCATGGGCCTACCCATGGGCCAAACCTTTTTCTCGCCCATGGGCGAAATATTTCAATATCGCTATAAAATAGTTGAATTAAGTTAAAATGAGTTAAATTTTGTGTCATGATACTTCAATAAATACATTTAATGTATTTGCGAAACAAAATCATGAGTTTTAAGTAAAGGAACATATTCTCGCCCATGGGCCAAACCTTTTTCTCGCCCATGGGCGAAATATTTCAATATCGCTATAAAATAGTTGAATTAAGTTAAAATGAGTTAAATTTTGTGTCATGATACTTCAATGAATACATTAAATGTATTTGCGAAACAAAAACATGAGTTTTAAGTAAAGGAACATATTCTCGCCCATGGGCCTACCCATGGGCCAGACTTCGCCCATGGGCCTACCCATGGGCCACACTTCGCCCATGGGCAGGCCCATGGGCGACATAGTCTAAATATTGAGTTTTTAAACAATTTTTTTTTTCATTCTTTCTTCCTTGGTATGTTCCCATGAAAACGGCATGTTTAATTTTGTAAATACCTTTAACCGAGACTGGGCAAAGAGCGTAGAGTTTCTGGACTTTTGGGTTTCCAGAATTAAAATGGGACGTGTTATATGCATATCTATATCTATATCTATATCCATATCTATATATATATATATATATATATATATATATATATATATATATATATATATATATATATATATATATATATATATATCCATATCCATATCATTATCTTTATATCTATATCCCAAGGATGGTCTTAGACCAACAACTATCACTGTACATTCCTCTATCAGAAAAGCGTACGAAAACGTTAGAGTTTATACTAGATTACATATGTCGAATATGTACATATACAGAAGCAAGTTTCAGCCAGGCAATAAAATATGCGTGTTTCTGCATATTTATAGTCTGCCAATCATAACGTGATGCTTGTTGTATTTACTAAGATAGGAATGAACTCACCACGGTCTGGACCATGTTCATCCTGGCCTGTCTCATCCTTGACACACACTGGAACACGTTCACCCTGTGCTCTGCCTCAGCCTGGTCCATCAGATAGTCCAGAGCAATGAACGTCCCCGTCCGCCCCACTCCAGCGCTGACATTCGAACATGCCAAGTATCTCATGGTCACCGTTACTGATTGCCTTTAGTTCAGGTATCTTATATTTCAGAGGACATACCGTGTTTTCCGTCGATCCCCACCCACTACCATCTCGCTCTAGTATCTCCACCACTCCTTCATTGACCAGTATCATGTCACTATCACTGATTGTATTTAAGCACCTTACATTTCAGGGGACATTACTAGTTTCAAGCACCTCTAACCACACCCATCGCCACGCAATCTGATCTCTCACCACCTTCTCTCCATCACTCCTTCCATCCACCACCACCCCATCTGATCCCTCACACCTTCTTTCCACCGCCCCTTCCACCCATCGCCGCCCCATCTGATCTCTCACCACCTTCTCTCCACCGCCCCTTCATTGACCAGTATCATGTCACTATCACTGATTGTATTTGAGTACCTTACATTTCAGGGGACATTTTCATGCACCATGAAACACGTCCGCCTCCCTTTGTCAGGAAACACGTTTAGCTCTTTTTATTTTGCGTCACCCATCGACACCCATACATCACACTCGCGCCATATTCTCTGCACCCCTCCTTCATGTTCATTTCTCACCTGCAGTGGACCAGCAACGGCCCCTCCTCTCCATCGTCCCTTCCACCCATCACCACCCAATCTGATCTCTCACCACCTTCCCTCCATCACTCCTTCCACCCATCACCACCCCATCTGATCTCTCACCACCTTCTCTCCACCGCCCCTTCCACCCATCGCCACCCCATCTGATCTCTCACCACCTTCTCTCCACCGCCCCTTCCACCCATCGCAACCCCATCTGATCTCTTACCACCTTCCCTCCACCGCCCCTTCCACCCATCGCCACCCCATCTGATATCTCACCACCTTCTCTCCATCACTCCTTCCACCCATTGCCACCCCATCTGATCTCTCACCACCTTCCCTCCACCGCCCCTTCCACCCATCGCAACCCCATCTGATCTCTTACCACCTTCTCTCCACCGCCCCTTCCACCCATCGCCACCCCATCTGATCTCTCACCACCTTCTCTCCACCACTCCATCCACCCATCACCACCCCATCTGATCTCTCACCACCTTCTCTCCATCACTCCTTCCACCCATCGCCACCCCATCTGATCTCTCACCACCTTCTCTCCACCACTCCTTCCATCCATCACCACTCCATCTGATCTCTCACCACCTTCTCTCCACTGCCCCTTCCACCCATCGCCACCCCATCTGATCTCTCACCACCTTCTCTCCATCACTCCTTCATGATCACTTCTCACCTGCAGTGGACAAGCAACGGCCCCTCCTCTCCACCTTCCAGCTGTTTGATCCTCTTCCAGAAGCTGACCAGAGCTGGAGCAGATGGGACACCGTGGTCTGGCCAGGTCAGGAACTGGAAGTGGAGGACCCTTCTCGTCTCTGGAGCCTGTTTGTTAAAAATTGCAACCGTTACCGTACAACAAGTATAGAACGAATATGAACAGAGCGAACAAATGGATACAAGGAACCATTAGTATATCCTCGATTTATCATTGTATATGACTGTTGTCTTAATGGGAGCTCAAAAGACTGACAGGTCTAGTTCAACGTCTCCTTACAGCGAATGTAGAAATACATGTATGTACAAATGAGAGCACTAGCATATGAGTGAGTGAGTGTGAGTGAGTGAGTGAGTGAGTGAGTGAGTGAGTGAGTGAGTGAGTGAGTGAGTGAGTGAGGTTTTAGCAATATTCCAGGAATATCACGGCGGGGGACACCAGAAATGGGCTTCACACATTGTGCTCATGTGGGGAATCGAACACTTGCATGTGGACATATGACAGCAATGTATTATCGTTAATAGGAACCTCATATCCAGTGTGTTCACATGTAAGTGTATCGAATAAGTATATAATATAATAATAGGATCTTCATATCGGGCCTAATATGCATCCGGCGAATTAATACATACAATATGGGCACCTGGGAAGCTGTTGTGTATATATTAATGTTATTGTTAGGCCCCAGCTATATCATTGGTAGATCACGAAGGTAAAGCTTTTAGAAAACATATAGCGCAAGTCATCTTGCGATCAACAATGATGAATACATAGTATCCTTTAAAGTACTTTCAGTTCATGAAATTACATAACATATTTTGGGACTTTGAGGATAATAAATCTGCATTAAAACTGACCTACCGTGACATGTTTTACTTTCAGCGTCATCATGGTAAAGTCAGCTCGTGTTACGGTGCATTCATGTTCTATAGAAATATTACCACAGTTGCTGGTGTCATGATCGCAAGGCCAATATTTCTCACACTTCACCTGCAGCAATTTGAACGATAACCACCAGTTCATCAATTAAAAACGACGCTTAAATAACAAACTTGAATGTGGAACTTGCAAATTTAGTTCGGCAAACAATGCAACAACCTACAATTCACAATGAATAATAAATGAAACAATGACATGATCATATCATTTTATGTATGCATTTTGAAGGAGGTCCATAGCTCCTTCGCATGTTTCTGCACAACTGCTTACATTAAAGAACAAACATGTAAGGTTCACCTACCTTCTGCATCTCCTTCAGCTGTGTCACCATGACTATTTTCCCCACCCGCTGCTGCCAAACCATTCTCCAGAAGTCACCCACTGTCGCTTGTGTGGGGCCTACAGATATTATAGACGTATGTAAACTATTATTTACATTTTAAAACATGTATGATAAAACGAAGTTGTAAACTGTTTTAAGTGCAATTGTACTTTTCAAAAACCTGTCTGGCATTTATGCATTTTAATCTCAGTATTATATCAGTATGCAACAACATCATGCATGTAGATCACCTTGTAGAACATTCATCTGTAAGATCGTCTTCATAAAAAGACGTTGAACCTATGTAATACATTTGATTCAAAAGCTTTCTCACCCGTAAAGATCCGGGTTAGAATAGGTCTTCAGCGACCCATGTTTGCCCTAAACAGCGACTATACTTGTCGTAAGAGGCGACCAACGGAGCTTGGTGGTCAGGCTTGCTGACTGGGTTGATGCATGTCATAGTGTTCCAATTGCGTGAATCGATCCTCATGACATCAATCACTGGATTGTTTGGTCCATTCTCGATTATTTACAGACTGCCGTCATATAGCTGGGTTATTGCTGAATGCGGTGCTAAACAACAAACATACAAACAACAAAAAAGTTTTCTCACTCGTTTAGACCAAGAAGAAACAAATAATTACCTTGCGTAGCGATATACCCATGTCCACCATGTCCCTTTTGAAAGAAGTAAACAGAAACAATTGTCTGTAAAAATGTTTGTTTACTCTATATCTTAGCATATCAAAAGTATTATATGTTTTTAGGTTTCGCTCCTTCATACAAGTACGGTATTTTATCAATAATCATATTTACTAAATATAGTGAAACACGTACTGAAACGTAGTTGGCATTTACATAATCAGATGTATTCTCTCCGTCTTCTTCAAGGATCACTCGTGAGTCATCATCTGAGACAAGGACATGAAAGAACTGTAACATACACCCATCGATTAGATAGTACCAGAGTTGATGAATACTGTAATTGTTATAAGAGTGAGTGAGTGAGTGGGGTTTAACGCCGCTTTAAACATTATTCCAGTTATATCATGACGTGTCAGCTTAATGTGGGAGGAAAGCCCGAAGTGATGTCTCAGACGTTTACCACTTCGGTGAAACCCACGAGCACGGGTATGGTGCTTACAAACCTAGAAACATAATCGGGGCGAACCGGGATTCGAACCCACATTCATAGGTTTCTGGCGTGCCCAAGGGACGCAACTCTGCACAGAGAATCGGGGTGCCTTAGACGACTGGGCCACCCGTGCCCCCTATGTGTAGAAGAACAAAATGACGATGAACTAAGACGTTAATGGAACCATGACCGTGGAACTAAGCAGCGCTTTGAATATACGCTCCATGTCTACCTTTATGACTCATTTTACATTCTAGCATTAGTTTCAGTTAACTTTGTTCATATCCATTGATAAGATTGACGTACGAATCATCTTCTCCACCCTTCTGATAACAAGTGGGGGGACGGGTGGCCCAGTCGTCTAAGGCGCAGCGATTCGCTGTGTAGAGTTGCGTCCCTTGGGCACGCCAGAAACCTATGAATTTGGGTTCGAATCCCGGTTCGCCCCGATTATGTTTCTAGGTTTGTCAGCACCATACCTATGCTCGTGGGTTTCACCGAAGTGTTAAACGTCTGAGACCTGCATCACTTCGAGCTTTCCTCCCACATTAAGCTGACACGCCGTGATATAACTGGAATACTGTTGAAAACGTCGTTAAACCCAACTCACTCACTCTTCTACACATAAGACCTAGCTGCTTTTTTCAGAATTAGAGTCGGCGCAGAGAGGAAAATTCATTGTGTCTATTTAGGTAATGTTTGGGTATCGCTCGACGACTTCCTTTAAAGTCTTCACTGTTTAGTTCGGCAATGATCGATCAGAAACATCAAATCATTTTACAATGTCCCTGCTTAAAACTTAGCAGATTTACGGAGAGGCACATCAACCGATGACAAACAACAGTGATTACATGAAGCTATTGACCTGACAGTGTCAGATGCATGTCGGTACATGAGGGAACCTACATGGGTACAACGCGGCAAATCTGTTTTTCAATTTGTTTTCTGCCCTTTTTCCTTCTTCAACGCTGCCTCTGATACCATAAGGAATCGCCTGCAAAATCAGAAATGCGTTATTATTATATCCCTCGTCCCAACTGGACAACTTTTCTATGGAGAAGATGCGAGCGTGATGCGTGAGGGAGCAAATAAATAGGGCTGCACGCCGTGTTTCAGAGGTATTTGAATGATATCACCGGGTGATCAGGTATTTGGGGATTATGTATCATTTGTGGCTGGTTGCCTACGAAATTATGTGAACGATAAACTGTTACGTTGTACATCCCTCAACTCCTTGATATCTGCTCATTCGCCGCCGGGAACCTCACATGGGAACAGAGTTTAATATGTATTATATATATGTGTGTGTGCTATATATATGTATGTATTAAATATATGTATGTATTGTCATCAAACACATCCTTAACAGTGTATTAAGATGTAATCCACACGTAATACCTTGTATTCGGTCTCGAAGGCCGAATCTTCCTTTTTCATTCTGATGTACTCAACCAGTTTCTCCAAAGACACACAAGGAGAGACCCAGTTACAGTAGCTAGCGCCTTCAACTGTTACGTCTTCTAACTCTGCGGAAAAGACTTCGTCCTCATCTTTCTCCAAAGAAATGGACAAAGTCACAGTGTGATTGAGACTGATAGTATTATCTACATTGTGTAAAATGTTATGTTAAAAATGACCCATGATGTCATATTCGGTATTTTCTATTCTATGTCGTAGACTTGGGCCAGGTTTTAACGATTTCAAAGAAACCTACAAATCAGTTCGAAATTTCCTAAAGACGTTTAGCAAAATAACCAAAATAGTCGGCGATTTGTTATATCCGGCTCCTATATATATATCCGGAGTTGACGCTAACTAGTTCCGGTCCACATACCTGTCATAATAGCAGTACCACCGCAATGCGAAAATATATTTTTCAGTTATATATTCCACTATAATTTCTCTGTTATTTGTGCAAAAAGATCGGGTGCCTACAACGGGTGCCAGGGGTTATTGTGTGGCGCTGTACCCAACGGCGTCAAGCGTTTTACATGCTGGCACATATGTTATATTCATGACTGCGACTGCCAAAAATATTAGCTCGATCACTCAGGATAATATTTCTTTTACATGACATGTATAAAACAGTTGTCACACTACCGTAACAAGCATCTGAATGTTCCTGGACAGATGGTTCCTTGTAGAGCGTCATGGACGCGGCAGGTCTCGAGTGACCCTTTCTCCTGTAACAACACGATAGACAGTGTCATGTTAATTCCAAATAAGATATAGTTCATGACGTCACGTGGACGTAAGCAAACCTTGCTATTTACAAGAGCAACGGCTTCAGGTCCTATATTTGTCCAACGCTGCAAGTTTGGTAAGAATAATACGTTTATAACGAACTGACGGATATAACGAAATGGCTATTTTGGGTCCTGGCCATTTGTATATATCCTATATACATATGCTTATAACGAACTACGGTTATAACGAACTAGTAGAAGTGGTCCCTTTGAGTTCGATATAACCGTAGTTTACTATAGTAGGTTTTAATAGACACAAATCGTTTCACATACTTAAACAAAGTTACAGATTTAAAATAGTAGATCTCAACTCACATATGTCAAAGCAGCGTTTATGGAGCTCGTAAGCATTTCTATACAGTAAATGTTTTTGTATAACAAAACTGATCAAACTTCTGTTATATCAACATTAAAATAACTCAAGCACTGAGTAAACCCGACAATAATTAATGAGCAGAACACAGAATGATGTTATAAGTTATGTCGTTCCGTACCTTTTAATCAAAATCACCAACACAGCTACTACAACGACGACTACTACCAGTAAGACGCCGCCGACAGATACACCAATCACGTCACGCTCTGACGTGTAATACAATAAAAACAACATTGAAACATACATTCATAAATAATATTTTATCTGCTCAATATAAGAGCGTGCTACAATGTGTGTGCATGCAGAGGTAAACTCCAGAAGTAAAGGTTCATCAGATTATATGTGCAGAGTTGCGTCCCTTGGACACGCCAGGAACCTATGATTATGGGTTCGAATCCCAGTGCGCCCTGATTATGTTCTATGTTTGTCAGCACCATATCGTTCTCGTGTATTTTACCAAAGTGGTAAACGTAGGAGACCTACATCACTTCGAGCTTTCCTCCCACCTTAAGCTGACACGCTGTGATATAACTGGAATATTGTTGAAAACGTCGTTAAAACCAATTTACGCACTCACTATCTATTATTTGTATTTAGAATTATGCATGACATTATTTACTACTTTGAGAAATGTAGACACGCTTTGCTTACCTCTATCACACGTGACCGTGGTCCAGCCAGTCTGACACCCACGTGGACAGTGGCCGTCACTCTTGTCACAGATAGTGGTGTTGAGACATTGGCCACATGAAGACGTACAGTTCATGCCGTAAAAGCCATCTTCGCACTCTGAAAGGTCGAGTATATCCTTCAAATTCAGAATTTTAAACGAAAATATTAGTAACATTCTCGATTATCCAGTGTACTGTGTCTCCATTTCATTAAAGGGGCACTAATCTCTGGCTTCTTCCTGACTGTCCGCTTGGGCTCACTAGCTGCCGTGAGTCGATTAACTGTCCATTGGACAACTATTTGAAGTATATCTAGTCTGCTTTGATTTATGTGGTTAAACCGCATTTATCCGGCCCCAGTATGATTGTTCGGATAAACACATTTCCAACCAATCCGTGTCCCTTAAATATACGTCCCGATAGCTGATCGTCCTTAATGAGGCGGTTTGGTAGCACAGTGGTTAAAGTGTTCACTAGCCACACCGAAGCCTCAAGGGCAATCCCGGTTCTCGTGTCCCCCCGACGTTATGTTGCTTGACCATTGGTCAGAACGGCGTAAAGTCGTATTCATTCACTCTGGAATAACTGTATCACCATTGCATACATTAACATGTACCATAAGAAGAAATCATTGAATGCGGCTTTAGCCAACAAAGAAACACTCACATTTGTAATGAAAATTGTGTGAGTCGGTGCTTCTGGTCGGTGCATCACATGCTTACCTATTTCGCGAACACATGGTGTCGCATCTGCCTTTCAGGGATCCAGTCATATAATTTTCATCACTATTTTGCATTGTGCGCCCAAAGAAATCTGTTTCGACGGCTATTATAGCACAGAATATGTCTTAATTGTAGGGACTGGGCATTTTCGCTTACCTATCCTCGAGCATATACTAGTATTTCATTAAACGCTCATATTTTCAGCTTGCCATCACCCTCAACTCTTTCTCAGCTCTAGCATCATCCCATTCTCATTCCTGAACTTAAGAGACTTTTGTGGTTCCTGTATGATCCACCGGCAAAACAATGCCATGTGACGTCAGCCTAGAAACGGAGTTGCTAGGGTCACCGAGTGTGCATAAGCTCCTCTCAGTAATATGTCATCTCTTCACGCAATGTCATTGAAAAAAGCCCAGTAATGTTGGGGGTTTTGTGAATTTGTTCATGCAGTACTTTGGTTTTACACAATGCGTAATACAGATGCATGGTTATTAAACGGGTGGGTAATACATTATTTTATTAAACCTTACTTAATTACCTTAAAATAATTTTAAGGGACCTAGAACGTAGATATGGATTTTGTGTGGAGTCAATAATCTCACCAGAAATTCAGTATTCTCACCTTGCTGACAGTCTAAGCCTGTGAAGCCTGGTTGACATCCTCTCTTGCAGGCTCCATTACCTTTGTCACAGATGTCTGATGCGGGAAAACAGTTGCATCGTTTGTCACAATCTTCTCCGTACCAGAAGTCATTGCAAACTTAAATGGAATATTCATTGCATAAAGTATGTAGCATAGAATATTCTAGTTATTTCCCCATGATAATTGTTTGTGACATACACGATGCTCATTATGTTCACAATTATAAAGAGCTTTTTACATCGTTGGACATGTTATAAATGTGCATAATGTACTGTAACGGGAGAAAGACTTAGTATTTGCCATCAATTTTTTTTTAAATAAATACCTACTATTTATTATCACTTTGTAATTCATATAGTGTAATTCAAATTCTTTAAAGCCAATTTACAGAAGTAAATAAGAGAATGCATTGTTATTATGAGTGAAATCGAACGGAATTTCCAACGAAATTTTTTACAAAAAAATAATCAATAAACTAGACGTATATTAATAGTTAAGTAGAGTGTGTGTCCAATAAACTACTAGCAACTTACCAAACACCTGTACTTCACAGAGAGACAGGAACTGTCCGGGAATCCTGATGGTCACTTCTTCTCCTACCAGCGTCTGATCACAGACCACGAGTGCCACAGTATCTGGTGCTGCGTCTTTAGTCCATCCGTAACATCGCTGTCCATCCACGGAAATGTCCATTCCCTGGCGTCTCCTTTCAACTGTGTGTCAAAAAATGCACAGTTACATATACAGGAGGGTCTAGGACTGTACACTTCCATGTACGTGCACTGCCTCATATCGCAGTAAACCTGGCATACCCTATATGAAGCATTCATAGAAAATTAAATTTGTTTCCACAATTATACTTACTGCAACATTTATTACTTCATAAAAGTGAGACAAGAATTACCAGTCTATGACGTTTGAACTGTTACCCAAATATTTGAATGTTTATAATCTAAATATATCAAACGGTCATCCAGGTGAGTGTTGTGTCTTGTTAAGATATGAACAATGATGCTTGCACACATCAGTGCTGGTCATACATACATATGTGCAGCAAGAACACCTGCGATGCACTGTCGTCGTTTATTCTTGTGTTTTCTATCAATGATGTGTTCACCACCTGTCAAGAACTACTTATGTCTTGCAGTGCTGTCTATTTTTAGATATTTTGGGAAAATGTTAACGTTTTTGCAATTTTGCAAGGCCTTAAGATTGAGTGAACAAGAATGGAATGAGTTCAACAAGATTGCAGATCCCGGTTAGAGGTAAGTGCGAGTTTCTTGGTCACAGTTTTCACCAACCTTTTTCGTCCCTCTCGCTAATCTAGCTGGCAAACTTCTACAACTAGCAGCGTCGCCTTGACGTGTGTCATGTGTCAGTTAAGTACTTCCTTTGTTGTTTCGTCTATTTAGGTGTTATTTGTTATGATTGTTGTAAGCCTTGATTTTCAATTTCGATGTTAATCGAAGTGGAGATTTTTCCGCGAATGTTTCAGATAAAGAAGCTTCTGGATATTGCCGTATTGGGAGCAACAAACATGACGGAAATCAGGTATAGTATAGTTTCAAAAAAAAAGGGTGTTATGAAGATCAATGGACGCTTCATTATCCTGAGATGATATGCACCACATGATTGCAATACAGTAGACATGGTTGATATACAGTATATATGGTTGTTATACAGTATACATGGTTGTTATACAGTATACATGGTTGTTATACAGTATACATGGTTGTTATACTGTAGACATGGTTGTTATACAGTATACATGGTTGTTATACAGTATACATGGTTGTTATACAGTATATATGGTTGTTATACAGTATACATGGTTGTTATACAGTATACATGGTTGTTATACAGTATACATGGTTGTTATACTGTAGACATGGTTGTTATACAGTATACATGGTTGTTATACAGTATATATGGTTGTTATACAGTATACATGGTTGTTATACAGTATACATTGTTGTTATACTGTAGACATGGTTGTTATACTGTAGACATGGTTGTTATACAGTATACATGGTTGTTATACAGTATACATGGTTGTTATACTGTAGACATGGTTGTTATACAGTATACATGGTTGTTATACAGTAGACATGGTTGTTATACAGTAGACATGGTTGTTATACAGTATACATGGTTGTTATACAGTAGACATGGTTGTTATACTGTAGACATGGTTGTTATACAGTAGACATGGTTGTTATACAGTAGACATGGTTGGTATACTGTATACATGGTTGTTATACTGTATACATGGTTGTTATACAGTAGACATGGTTGTTATACAGTAGACATGGTTGTTATACTGTAGACATGGTTGTTATACTGTAGACATGGTTGTTATACTGTAGACATGGTTGTTATACAGTAGACATGGTTGTTATACAGTAGACATGGTTGTTATACAATATACATGGTTGTTATACAGTAGACATGGTTGTTATACAGTATACATTGTTGTTATACAGTATACATGGTTGTTATACAGTAGACATGGTTGTTATACAATATACATGGTTGTTATACTGTATACATGGTTGTTATACAGTAGACATGGTTGTTATACAATATACATGGTTGTTATACTGTATACATGGTTGTTATACAGTATACATTGTTGTTATACAGTATACATGGTTGTTATACAGTAGACATGGTTGTTATACAGTAGACATGGTTGTTATACAGTATACATGGTTGTTATACAGTATACATGGTTGTTATACTGTAGACATGGTTGTTATACAGTAGACATGGTTGTTATACAGTAGACATGGTTGGTATACTGTATACATGGTTGTTATACTGTATACATGGTTGTTATACAGTAGACATGGTTGTTATACAGTAGACATGGTTGTTATACAGTAGACATGGTTGTTATACAGTAGACATGGTTGTTATACTGTAGACATGGTTGTTATACAGTATACATGGTTGTTATACAGTAGACATGGTTGTTATACAGTAGACATGGTTGTTATACTGTAGACATGGTTGTTATACAGTAGACATGGTTGTTATACAGTAGACATGGTTGTTATACAATAGACATGGTTGTTATACAGTATATATGGTTGTTATACAATATACATGGTTGTTATACAGTAGACATGGTTGTTATACTGTATAATAATCTTAGGAGATACCTGAATGGAATATGAAAGTTGGGGTTGTTGCATTCCTGTTAATGAGAGTATAATAATGACAGGCAACTTACAGCCTTGGCGGTTATAGATAGTCATGTGTTTGATTTGATTGACTCCATTCCTCGCCAGCTTCACCCTCCACCATGCATCATGGTCGGATCCTGTGTGTGTGCATGTCAGAGGCTTCTTGGTGAAGTCAGTGTGGGAGAAGCCATCGACAGCCAAATCAGCAGTGAAGTTGACACGTTTCCCGTCAGTATAATCGCGACTTTCATGGAAGGTACTTATCTGTGAAGCACTCCCATTCAAGGCGACATTCTCTTGAAGGCAGATGAAAGAAACATATTATGCAATATTTGTACCCACTGGGGATATATGAAGTAGAATATCATATCTAAATCTATCCTTGGAGAGTCTTTTGTGAATAACCTTTTTATTTAAAACGAATGTCAGTATATTCCAACAATGTCCCCAGTAGACACTTGTGTGAGGCCAAAGCAAAGCAACACTACGTGGCGTAACATTTCAGTTGTGAAGTCATAAAGTGTCTTCTGTCCGAGACACTAGTGGTAGTTCTTTAATAGTTTGAGGAGAGCTAAATTAGTTTTACGTCGCATAATCAATATTACAACTGCAGTTGAAAGAGAAAGACGCTCGACTTGGTGTTTTGAATATGTGACCAAACACAACTGCAGTACATCAGTAGTGAGTTCATACAGATATCGTACATACTGTAATATGATATGGTTTGTCGAATTTTATCAAATGTGTTTGACAACATGTTTTTTACAAACATTTTTACATTTATACATTTATACCTTTTCATATTTATATATTTATACTTTTAAACCTCGCGCTAAAGAGCTCGGTTCCAAATTAAAATAAGAGGTATATCTATTCTACAGTGGGACTACATCAAATTTCAAAACACAGAAGGTTTATCCCCTAATTCAACTAAAGATCTAAATACACTAAGCCACCTACGTTTCTGACAGTACGGCCCATACCATCCAGTGTCACAGGCTCCCGTACAGTTGCTGACAGGGTCACACCCGGCCGTACAGTGACATGCTCCTTCTGCAATGAGACTCACGCTGTACGTCACAACGTTTGCCATTAATCGTGCTTGCTGTTTGTTGCTCAAAAGTTGTTTGATCAGGGTTACAACATTCAAAGTCTTAGTAAAGTTTTCCAAAAGTTTTACTGTAGAATGATGTCTTGCCCCTACGAAACAATATTTTACAGACGCCTCTCTCGTTCTATATTCCCGGTCAAAAATCTTTTCTTGCCTTTGTTTCATACTTCAGGAAAAAAGGACCGCATTGCGTTCCCGTTATTTCAGGTGAACAGTTAACTTGCCTTTGCGTGTGTTTGTGATGGGTTTGAACGCTGGGCAGAACAGGGTCACCCTATCGCGCGAACACCAGGTATCATCACTATTTGATGGAGATATTTTAACACATGCTCATGATATTGCCGGAATGGTACAGTGGATTTCTTATGCTTATGGGATTGTACAATGGATTTCTTGTGATTAAATAAGGGGTTTTGTCGCTGTGATTTATGTTCATATGTACTTAATATGAATACAACCCCACCGTTAATACTACGTCCTAGTTTCGGTGTAATTCTTCACTTTACATGTTGAGCAAATGTACCAACAAATACGAATTAAGACTTCTCATCGTGCAGCGGCGTTTCCCTGATACATCACGTTTGTACATGCAACGAGGTTACGAAACCTGGCTGTGACCTAATATACTATATTGAGGCCCAGTCGTTCAAGGCGCAGCAATTAGCTAGCTTAATCCAGGACTTCTTTACATTTCTGCACACAAAAATATTGATGCAAAATTATTAACAGTGGGTGGATGTTTCGAAACAATGTGTTTGTTGCAATATGCTACAAGCTCATCGGCAGGATGAAAGAGCAAATTCAGATTTTGTTTTCCTTTCAACAAAAGTTTGTAGTGGACGGATCAGTAACGCAAGTGTGGCCTACTTTCCGTATACTACACCGAAACGCGGCAGTTCCGGTCTCTCGGTGAACACAAATGTAATAACCTCACAGCAGATATCCTTCAACAATAGTAGGGTTAGTTTGGGAACATTGTAAATATTATATATTTCCCGTTTCCTGATTTATTAGAAGTTCAGGCTAAATGTGCCAGGGGCTAAAGAAGAATCGACTCAATGATGTGAGGGAGTGGTATTCTTCACACTTGAAAATAATTAGACTGGGGTAGATAAACCAATGGCTGTTAGTATGGGCAACGATCCACGGTGGTCCACACAATCAGCCAGGACCACCACACACTTTAACCGCCACACAGGACTTCTTCTACCTGGACCCGTTGTATCCAGGCCACTTGGCGGGTTCACATACAAGCAGTACTACTCACCGGCCTCGTATACAAGTCCACTGTACAGAAGAACTAGAAGGCTCACTCGCGATGACATCGTGACCTCGTCTGGTGCAATCGCTGCAGATACAGGAAGGAAGTGATTCATCTACATTTATTAATTGCTCTTTGGCAAGAGGAAGCAGTTTATTATGTACTTTCTGGTCTTCAGTTACACGCTGACAATTCAACAAAAGCGATAGATATGAGTATATATGATAGGATTCATTGTTGTGTATTGCATACCGTTTCAGAGTGAAAGGTCTCGGTAATATGTATACTCTGCAAAATAAGAAACGCAAAAGTGATTTTAGGTGTATATTTAATATATCATATAAATTTATTAATAGATGGTAATTGATTGTTCAATGGTTGCACACATCATTCTCATTGACCAGGTTCCACATAGCACACGCGAGATAGTAGATTTTCAAGGTGAAGGTCATCTGTGTTCCCATGGAAGCAATCAGATCTTGAATTGTGGCCTGGGGTATGTTCACCCACTCTTCCTGCAGTTTTCTGCCAACTGTCGGAGGCTCCGTGGTTGTTTCTGACATGCTTGCAATCGCTGATCCAGTTCCATCCCAAAAATGTTTGATTGGGTTTAAATCTGGAGACATTGGAGGGCCATGGCAGGACCTGGATGTTGTGATTCCTCAAAACGGCAGTTGTCAGTCTTGCTGTGTGAGGTCGGGCGTTGTCTTGTTGGAAACTGACGTTCGCTTGTTGCATAATGGGAAGGTCGTGTGGCCGAATAATTTTATACGTGTAACGTTGTGTCGTTAAATTCCCTCTGTTCTACCAGTGTAGGAGATAGCTGTCCACATCATCACACTACCACCGCCAAATCTGTCCACTTCCTGAATGAAGTTTCGGGCATAACGGTCTCCGCATGCCTGTATACACGACGTCTCCCATCCGCACAGCGAAGCGTAAAACGTGACTCATCATTAAACCAAACGTTTCCATCGCATTTGTGGTCGTGCTCTGTGACTTTGACACCATTGACGCCGCAGCCGACGGTGCAGGTCCGTCAAAATGACCCCTCCAACAGGTCGTCTAGCGCGAATAACTTCAGCGCGTAAACGGTTCCTCACTGTCTAGGCTCATATCCTACGAAATCCTGGTACTGCCGTAGTCGTAGAGGTGGCCGTGGTGGTTCTTTCACGTGAGTGACGTAGCCGTATGTATCTGTCCTCTGCTCTAGTAGGGACACGTGTTGACCGGATCTGGGAAGGCCCCGTGTTGACCCGTGTGTCTGATAACGGTTTCTTAGTCTTGTGATGGTGCTTGGCGTAACGTGGAAAAGCTAAAGATGATACGCCTGTAAGCTGTCGGCCAATGGCGTTTTTGCGTTGGGCTTCCGTCAGTCGTGGCATGTTTTCGCTGTTCACTTGCTGTAAGATTGTGATGGCATGCAAATCACCCGACAAGTGATGGTGCACCCGCATGTCATGTTAATATGTTTTGCTCCAGGCTCTCACGTGGTTGCGTTTTTACGATTTTTTCATCTGTTCACAAAATTTCTGCAATACCTTATTTTACCACACAAATCAATCCCGAAACGATGCAGAAATAATAAATTCATTTTGGTGATTACCTTTGTATGAACATCGGCAATACTGTCAGATATTTACGGTTTTGCTACTTATTGTGTCTTTTTTTGCAGGGTATATTTTCTAATTGGTCTTAAAATTAGTTCCGACACCAATAGGTTTTCACTCGATTCAAATATCGATCACGCTATATTTTTTTTTTGATAAGAGAATTCCGTTACAAAATGTGCTACTAACATATTTTCGTAGATATTCGTCAAATGAAAGAAGAATGATTATGCGTATTTCACTTGTAGTGTACATCATGAGCGGATGTCAATGACTACATGACGGTGATGTGATGAGCTGCGTGTGTCACGTCCGCTGATGTAGTATCCGTGCATATCAGGACTCGAGAAGTAACACAGGAGATTGATATTAAAATATATATGTTTGTATTTTGTATATATTGAAAAGGTTATATAAACTTTTGACTTTGGGCACGGGTGACCAGTCGTTTAAGGCGCCGAAACTAGATGTGCAGAGATGCGTTCCCTATGCAGGCGAGAAACCTATGTATGTAGGTTTGAATACCGGTTCGCCCCGGTTATGTTACTAGGTTTAGAAGGAAGATATGGTTACCATACAACCGATGATATATTTATTATATACTTCAGTGTGAAGGACTTTCTGAAATTAAGAAGAGTGATAGTTTCATTGCAGTGAAAATAATGTTTCGTTCTCAAAAGTCAATTTCTCATTTAACTCGTCAATCGTGACTGTTCAATTCGCAAAACGCCATTTTGGTTATTTGACCGGTGGGTATTCTTTCGCTTCAAACAACGGTCTCGTAGATTTCAAGACTCCTTTTTGTTTATGTTGATTTTGTATGATATCGATCATATCGAATTGTATGATTACGCATTCTATTGACATTAAATACTTTTTGTTAGTATTGTTCATATTCCTTAGATTTTTTAAACATTAGAGAACATTTTAAGTCGCAACTACAAAGGGTTGGTGAACCGTCACTGCGTGTTAGGTAGGGAGAATTTACGTTTCAAGGTTTTACATTTATAATGAAGTAGTTTCATTTTCCGGTTGACAACTACACAAATAGTATAGAACAAAATGGAAATCCTCTATAACTTACACCTTTGTAATTCTTATAGTGTCTACCAAACGAATGATGATGTTTCCAACTTTTGACTGGACATGGCACATAAACATACGAGACTATATTTGAGCGTAATTTGAGCATGGGAAATCCATTGAAAGTGTTATGATTAAGATATTACTAAAACAAGAGGGGTACGTTAAAAGTCAGTATATTTTACTCAACGTCTTGCAAATATTTATCTACATACAAAACAACTTCATTTGATTTCCACGATGTCTGGAAGAAACAGGATTAATTTCAAATTTAATCAGTAGACACCTTGAGCATTAAAAAACATAAGCTATAAATATATATGTTTCGGGTGCATGGGGACTATATCTTCTTTCTCGACTATTAGGCAGAAACAGACGATCGTGGGTTCGGATCCCGGTTCGCCCTGATAATGTTTGTCAGCATCACATCCGTGATCGTTGTTTACTAAAATGTCGTAAACGTCTAAGACGTGCATCACTTCAGGCTTTCCTCTCACAACACAACAACATACATGTACAAGTAGATTAATATTTGTCATCCATGTGACAAACTAATGTGATGATCGCGAGACCGTCCCCAGGTACAGAGGCGTAGAATCACACGAAGGGTTCATATGTATTTTGGTGTTCGTCCGACGCGCCTATCAATCTATTAATCTGTCACCCTGCCTCGCGGTGACATTGCAGCTGATTGTGGAATGATTAAGTGGGCTCAGATAAGACTTGAATAAATATTCTTAATGTTAATGTCATCGATCAGTAATCCACTTACCCTCTGTCCGCGCTGACTGGGGGACTCTAGTGATGTATGTACGCAGCTCTATGGTGTCATCAAGGAAGTGTAATATGCTGGACTTGGTCAAAGTATTCATTAGTCATTGAGAGGAAACTGGCTCTTTCACTGACAATGCGATCACTGAACCACTTGAAACAGTGAGTATGTACAGGCAACTCTCGTTAAGAACACACGACCCGTGAAGATAGAATAAGTCTTCAGCAACCCATGCTGGCCGTAAAAGGTGACTATGACCGTAAGAGGCGATTAACGAGATCGGACGGTCAGGATCACTGACTTGATTGAAATCGATGATTGTCATTGGATCCCAAGTTCGTAGATCGATTCTCATGATGTCAATCACTTGATAATTTACAGACCGCCGTCATATAGCTGGAATATTGCTGTGTGCGGCGTTAAACAAACAAACAAACAAAAAACTAAACAAACCGGTTAACGGATGTAGATACATTGATGCCGCAGTAGACTTCGTGGCGGATAGTTAGAATAGTGTTAAGGTGAGGTGAGGTGAGGTTTAACATCGCGTTCAAGATTATTGCACTTATATAGCGTCGTGCATGCACGACCAGTCCTTAATGCCGTGCGCGAGGCAGGGTAACAACAAGTACCATCTTTTAACGTCTGTTTGTATGATGCGGCCGGGGATCGACCCTCGCACCTTCCGCTCTACCACTGCCACGGACGCACTACCACTAGACCACGGAGGCGGTCGTTTAGGTGAGGATAACGGAAGAGTACAGTTCACCAAGACACTCTATAATTTAGTTAGACAGGAACGCGTCTACAACTCACCAGTTTTTGAAAACACACGCACACGCACACGCACACGCACACGCACACGCACACGCACACGTCACACACACACACACACACACACACACACACACACACATACATTACTAGTTGCTGTTTTTGTTTTCTTATTAACAGTGTTCAGAAGAAATTATTGTGAATTTATTATTTTCTTTATACTTCCCACAATGGACGAGGGAGACACAATTAGTCCTATAATTCCCTATGCAGGGTTGCGTCCCTTAGGCGTACCAGAAACCAGTGATCATTGGTTGGAATCTCCGTTTGTCCTGACTATCTGTACCATGTCCGTGCTCGTGCATTAACCAGATTGATAAACGTCTAATACCTGCATCTCATTGGGCTCACTCACTCACTCACCCACCCTCCATCCCACTCACTCACCCACCCACCCATCCACTCACTCACTCACTCACTCACCCATCCACTCACTCACTCACTCAATCACTTACTCACTCACTCACTCACCCACCCACCATCCCATCCACTCACTCACTCACCCATCCACTCACTCACTCACTCACCCACCCATCATCCCACCCACTCACTCACCCACTCACTCACCCACCCACCCACCCACCCACTCACTTACTCACTCACTCACTCACTCACTCACTCACCCACCCACCATCCCATCCACTCACTCACCCATCCACTCACTCACTCACTCACTCACCAACCAACCATGCCATCCACTCACTCACCCACTCACTCACCCACCAACCCACCCACCAACCAACCCACCCAACCACCATCCCCCTCACTCACTCACTCACTCACTCACTCACTCACTCACTCACCCACCCACTCACTCACTCACTCACTCACCAACCCACCATGCCATCCACTCACTCACCCATCCACTCGCTCACTCACTCACTCACTCAGTAATTTGGGCATCCAAATCTAGTAATGATAAAAACTAATGATATGACTATATCGAGTAATTGTATATGTTGGCCTTCACACAGTGCATCAGAGATAACCACATATTCGTACATGTCATCACATTATTACGAAATGTGTTTTGAGAAAAATCTATACTTTCACACATTTCTGTGAGTGCGTGATATTTTGCAGGCTTGAAAATATTCAGACTGGGGTAGATACACCAATGGCTGTTGTATGAGCAACGATCCACGGTCCACACAATCAGCCAGGACCACCACAGACTTTAACCACCACATAGTACCTCTTCTACCTGGACCCGTTGTATCCAGGCCACTTGGCGGGATCACATACAAGCAGTACTACTCACCGGCCCCGTCCGCAGTACAGGAGAACCAAAAGGCTCACTCGCGATGTCATCGTGACCCCGTCTGTTGCAATCGCTGCAGTAACCGGAAGAAAGTAATTGTGATAAATTCATCAATCGCTCTGTGGCGAGTGCACCGTAAGCATTCTGGTCCACATTAACTCACTGACAATTAATAACAAGAGCGACAGACATAAGTATGGTATAATGAACTTCTTCAAGTGTGGTGATACGTTCGTGTGGTATAAACGGACGAATGCAAGAATGTTAGTATTTAAACGGGCGAATGGCAGCATCTAACCACTTAAACGGACGAATGGTAGCATCTTACCACTTAAACGGGCGAATGACAGCATGTTACCACTTAGACGGGCGAATGACAGCATCTTACCACTTAAACGGGCGAACGACGTTGTTTGTTGGCATTGTGTGGCACGTGACAGCGGACACTTGTGTTCAATTAACTTCACGCAATATCGTCTTTGGCTGTTTCAACAGTTCACACAATTTAACGTATTACATTTTAAAGTGATGATCCTTAGCAAACTTTGAGTACTATACTTAAACGGACCGATGACGGTACCTTACTAGCTTACCGTTTTGTCGTATCCTTTCAACACAGATCATCAATCAGATTAGACAATCGGAGAAGAATAACCCAAACAATACTGCCGACATCTGGGACTTACACCAACACATCATATATTCTTCTTTATTATTCATATTGGATGTAGTCAACTCATGCGTCTCTTATATCCTAACGCTATTTATCATCCAAAGCTGGTTCCCACAAGAGATATTTCTTGGGAGAGATCAGGGATATCTACATTGCAGATACAGTTATCTACATTGTAGATATCGCTTTTATATATCACTGATTATTTTATTTTCGTATTTCGATTTAAGAAAGATATTGGATGATAAATGAAATCTCACCCTTTTGATATCAAAAGACACACGGGTGAGATTATCTCTATATTCTTAGGATTAGTTCTATGTTTGAAATGTGTGTGTGGTACCGTAGTATTTCGCGTCGGTTGAAGTAGCGTGCTCCCTGTGTCCTGATTGTCTGATAAACATAAGCAAACACTTTGTACTCTCACTCCATCTCTCTGTAGCTTAACTGATATCATGACGCTGAACACTTCGGGCAGATTTTTTAATTTCTTTGTATATATATTTTTTTATTTATTTTTTTTTATTCTTTATTTTATTGTATATTTATTTACTTTGCTATGTGTGTTGTTGGGAATATCCTGGTCACGAGGTTGGAGAAGAATAGAATAAAAAATGACAATTCACATGTTTTGTTCTTTAAAACGTTATCTGAATATGTGTTCTATGGAGCTCATGTCTGGGGAACGTGCTGGCCACGGAAACACGCCTACATTGTTGGCTGATAGAAAGATAGAAATTGACCATATATACATTGCGCATATTTCCACACCACTCAAAAGCATGATCAAAGCGCTATTATTACCCCGGTCACCAGCGTGCAGTCAATAATCATTTTCATGATAGGACAATTAGACGAAAAATGTCATCCATGTAACCCTGAACTGTCAAATATCTTGCCTACAAATCCTGCCTACAAATCCCCCCTCCTCCCACTCGTCAATAACTGTCCTCTGTAAGGTCTGTAAGCCCTAATTCCTAGAACCCTGAGGCGCCTAAGGCGTTCGTCGCTGATGACGTCACTGGCAGGAATCGAATATGGAAATGCACAGTACGCATGTACCGGTCTTCATTGGGCGTAGTTACCCTTGGGTCTGCCTGTTCTTGGCCTGTTAGTTACAGCAACACGGGAGTAACCAAACGTTCCACCAATGTGGACAAGGGTGGCTCCCATCTGTATCATACCCAGGGACAGCACACGTTGTTCGTGTGTCAGTCGTGATATGTCTGTGATGTGTATTTATAAGCGTGGGTATCTGACATGCCGTCAGTATCATTTATATACCCTCATGTAGTTCCAAGCGGAACGTTTTTTATATTTTTCGCATTTTCTAAACAAAAAAAACGTGCTGTCGACGGTATCACTTTCTTCCTACAGCATTGTTGTGTTTGGACGATGTGTCTTGCATTGATTTAGTTTAAGCTTGTGTTTTTTGTGTGTTTTTTTTCAATTTCATTTTTTAAGCGGAAACATTTCCTTTGCGTTTGTTTAGATGGAATATAGCTCGCGCAGCGGCTACATAGTCTGGCAGGTGGGCTGACTCACATCTGCAATATACCGCCTGCACACTTCAGTCATTTAAGATCATGTATATGTACCTCAAAATCTATCTCTACCTCCATATCACGAAATAAAGTGTATGTGGACCTACAGATGGACCCTTGTGTTTCCAGACAAGAGGTATCCCAAAGACCCGATATAACAGTCATTGACATTGCAGACAACGGCATCATAGACATGCCGAGGATTGAATTGAAACTATCAAAGACAGATTCAAACGGTTTAATGTAATACAATTCTCTCATTTACACAAAAATACATGAAGCAGAGTAGTTATTGTGTTGTGGCAGTGTTCCTGGCTTTGTCCTGGGCGTCTGTTGTGGCAGCGTTCGCTTGTTCACAGCTTCTGCAAAGATGAAAACTCGTCAGTTGATCCTCACATTATATACTCAAATATTTGAACAAAGGCAAATTATAACAGTCTTCTTATTATCTACATATTTTCATTTGTCTAGTATAAATATTTATAAATAATAAAGAGTATTACGTTTGTTAAGTTAACATTTAATGTTTATTCAACCTGGAGACACACTCCTCTCCGTCTCTGCACTTTGAGGTTCATCTCATCCACAACAACTGCTGGTTTGTTTGTTTTCTAACACGATGATTGTAGCAAATATACTCTTCTGTAAATTCTAAAAGGTTTCTCTGACCAAAACACAATCATGTTGCTAAATAAGGCTACAACTACTAATACTCCTCATATAATGTTGCTACGGCTACGGCTACGGCTACGGCTTCGGCTACGGCTACGGCTACGGCTTCTGCTACGGTTACGGCTACGGCTACTGCCACGGCTTCTGCTTCTGCTACCCAACTTACCTCACTGACAGTTTGTCCCTTGAAACCCTGGAGCACACCCGCTCTGACACTCGCCAGTTCCTTTATCACAGATTTCGGCTCTATCACCACAATGACACTGCTGGTTACAGTTCATCCCAAACCAATAGTCACTGCAAACTAATCAAACTTAAATTTTTACCAATCAATTAAAACATCATGAGATTGAGCTTGTGGGAAACATTTGTCGTCGTTTTTCAAAAACGACGAACGTGTTAAGTGCACAGGTGCAGATGTATCATCATTAAAAGCCAGTCGACAACAACAGTGCCCCTAATCCTCCCTGGTACAATGGGTCTCATTATCCAGATGCCGCCCGTCCATGAGTTGCTTCACCCAAACCCCTCAGGGTAACAGCATTTAACATCCAACACTGCCTCCAACAGGAGATATTCTTGTGTGAGATCAAACAATATCAATGATCACTTATTCGTCTGCAGGCACACGTGTTAACTTAATGTTCAAATCGAACACAATAGATTCTTTTTTATATTATTATTATTTAGCTTTCAAATATTGGCATTCATTTTATGCAGTCAATGCCACTCTTTGCTTAGTGAAGATGAGTTTGGGTGCAAGGTCAAAACGTATATAGCCGTGAGTGAAGTCATGGCATAGTAGCTTTACAACATGACGTGACCTTTTGACTGTCACGTCGACACGAGTTATCGCTCAACAAGTTAAACTCCTGATCAATTAATCACTTAGGAAAAGGAAAATCATCTCGTAAACCTTTTGTTTAGAATGAATACAGACAGGTAAATATTTAGGTGGTGAATTGTCACAGATCTCACACCGTTACATAAACTATCTTTATGATTAAAAGATGGTATCAAATGTTATCAAACTAATGAGTTGTTTTTGTTCTGAGTGATATAAAATGTTAACGGACAACAAACATCTTCTCACCCTCTTGCCTTTTAATATGAAACTTATAAAAGTAGAAATATATAAAATCGATAAAAGTAGAAATCCTCCTCGGCAATTCTTCGGAGTTTTGATACAATAACTTTAATCGGCATGTGTTGATATATTTGATATCAAAGCCACTTGGACGTGGGTCTCTAGTTATCACATAACTATCTTTGCCTCGCAATCGTACTCAGTGTCTGAAAAAAATAATTTTCTTGTTAAATTCATATGTTTCAATTTTTTTCTAATGAACCGTTAGTGGCAGGTATTTCGGATACAAAGGCCCACATAGACTTGATACAAAGCTACTACAGACCTACTGAAGTATCCTGCACTGAACCTACCGTAGACTTCTACTTCACACAGAGGGAGATGAGAACCAGGGACCCGGATAGTCACAACATCTCCAGTCAGGGTTTCATTACACGTGATGGATTCTACAACTTCAGGGGTGTCCCATACTGGAAACTGGTAGCACTGTCTCCCATCCACAAGAATTTCCATTTGACTCCGTCTTTCAGGTCCTATGCAATTGAACTGACAATTACGTATACAGCTAGCTACATACACACACACGCACGCAGGCGCGCACAAACACACACACACACACACACACACACACACACACACACACACACACACACACACACACAAACATATACACAAACAAATGCGTAAACGACAATGATAAAAAGATATCAAACGATCGCATTCTATAAACATATAAGGCCAAAGTATAAGGCTAAGGCAAAGTACTATATAAAATGACAACGCCGGAGAATAAGAAAATAACCAGTCTTAAACAGATCAAATTGGCCGTAAAAGGCAAAACAGCGGAAAACATATTCTGAATGGATTACGGATGTGACAGTGATGACAGCAGGTAATCCAGAGGGTCATACATCCACCAACAACTACAATCAGATGAGAACTATGTCTTACTGTAATCCCGGCTGTATATTGTCATGTATTTAATTTGGTTGACTCCGTTACTGGAGAGTCGCACATTCCACCACGCGTTGTTGGACTCCCCGGTCCGTGCGCATTGATACCCATTGGCTGTATTAGTGTTCCCGTCAACAGCACTATCAGAGCTCAGCACAACTGAATAGTAATCATTCTGGGCGGTTCTGCCTCCGAAGGCGACATTTTCTGAAGCGAAAGATCACATTGCATCGGTTATATGATCAGATACAAGGACATGTCTCACTGTACTGTCCACATTACATTGGTTGTTTGATCAAACACAGGGCCATGCCTTACTCCACTGCCAATATTACATTGGTTGTTTGATCAAACACAGGGCCATGCCTCACCCCACTGCCAATATTACATTGGTTGTTTGATCAAACACAGGGCCATGCCTTACTCCACTGCCAATATTACATTGGTTGTTTGATCAAACACAGGGCCATGCCTTACTCCACTGCCAATATTACATTGGTTGTTTGATCAAACACAGGGCCATGCCTTACTCCACTGCCAATATTACATTGGTTGTTTGATGAAACACAGGGCCATGCCTCACTCCACTGCCAATATTACATTGGTTGTTTGATCAAACACAGGCACATGCCTCACTCTACTGCCAATATTACATTGGTTGTTTGATCAAACACAGGGCCATGCCTCACCCCACTGCCAATATTACACTGGTTGTTTGATGAAACACAGGGCCATGCCTCACTCCACTGCCAATATTACATTGGTTGTTTGATGAAACACAGGGCCATGCCTCACTCCACTGCCAATATTACATTGGTTGTTTTATCAAACACAGGGCCATGACTCACTGCACTGCCAATATTACATTGGTTGTTTGATGAAACACAGGGCCATGCCTCACTCCACTGCCAATATTACATTGGTTGTTTTATCAAACACAGGGCCATGCCTTACTCCACTGCCAATATTACATTGGTTGTTTGATCAAACACAGGCACATGCCTCACTCTACTGCCAATATTACATTGGTTGTTTGATGAAACACAGGGCCATGCCTCACTCCACTGCCAATATTACATTGGTTGTTTTATCAAACACAGGGCCATGACTCACTGCACTGCCAATATTACATTGGTTGTTTGATGAAACACAGGGCCATGCCTCACTCTACTGCCAATATTACATTGGTTGTTTGATCAAACACAGGGCCATGCCTTACTCCACTGCCAATATTACATTGGTTGTTTGATCAAACACAGGCACATGCCTCACTCTACTGCCAATATTACATTGGTTGTTTGATCAAACACAGGGCCATGCCTCACCCCACTGCCAATATTACACTGGTTGTTTGATGAAACACAGGGCCATGCCTCACTCCACTGCCAATATTACATTGGTTGTTTGATGAAACACAGGGCCATGCCTCACTCCACTGCCAATATTACATTGGTTGTTTTATCAAACACAGGGCCATGACTCACTGCACTGCCAATATTACATTGGTTGTTTGATGAAACACAGGGCCATGCCTCACTCCACTGCCAATATTACATTGGTTGTTTTATCAAACACAGGGCCATGACTCACTGCACTGTCCAACTCTATCTAACATGTGTTTACTTCAGCTGTCCCTTAGGTCCAAGTGTTTGGGTCTCACGATCTAATCCGACGTTAATAAATGAAGACCACCGGGCTGATGTGTTTGTACAAGAGTTTCCAAGTCATAATTGACGTAATACTGAAAATTCAATGCGTGTTCAATTGTCATTCAAAAGGTGAAATGTAATGCCTGTAGACTTGGTAAAACTTCCGCCCAAAGGTACGCAACCCTGCACAGCGAATTGCGCTGCCTTAGACAATTGAGCCAACCGTCGCCAGCCATATGCAAAACCTTTCTGTGGTTCTCAGTATTAACAGGAATCTCGTCATGTATTAATATAGAAGTGTATGGACATCCTGCTCAAAGGTTTCATTTCAAAGAATCGGATTTGTTTTTCTCTCACCAAGAATACATGTGCATAAAAACGATGCAGACATACAACATTATATCTTACTTCTTTGGCAGTAGGTACCAGACCACCCGTCGTAACATTTATTTGGATATCCGTAACAGCGACCTGCTGGGTTGCGTCGACACCCGCGTCTGCAGCGGCATACCCCATCTGATGGAACAACACAACAAAACTGTGATACGAGAAGTGAACATGGCGCCGAAACGCAACACCGCTCGGCCTTTTGGCACTTGCCTTGTATCACGTGTTGAATATACTGTATCGGCACAAACTAAGTCATACCGGTTGATTTGAAACATGCACTCCTCTTATTATGCTGGCGAAATGTCTAATCAAAACCAAATGTCTTTAGAATGCATTAATATCTCTTATAGATAAACCGTGAATCGTATACAAAACCGTTCACACTCCTCCTACCCGCACACATACTTTTTACAAACAAATTACACTTATATCAAGGCTCGTCATACAATCAAATCAAGTATTCTGCATTTGAGGCGAATGCAACAACAACTCATCTGTCATCTGCTAAATTTACAAACGTACATGCACTGTGCATGTGAAACAGTCAAACGGCAGTCCCTAACAGAAATAAATGATATTGATCGTTTTTATTGTATTACAAAAAACATATGGCACATAGCCTACTCAAAACAAGCTAATGGGCACTCGGAATTGTTCACAGTGTTTTGCAGTACCCACAAGCCATGGCAGATTAACAAAAGTCACTTGAAAGAAAAGTTAGGGCGTTGTTTAACTTGTAGTATGATTAGTACACGTATAAATTTTCACGATTAAGGACTAAAATGTTTGGATTCAAATGTAGAAAGTGAAATACCAGTTTCAGAAATGAGTCCACAGCAGAGAAGAGCCACAAGGACACAGACGATCCTCATCTTGACAGCACAGCAGGTTACCCCCTGAAAAAAACCGGTTCGTGTACTAGGTGGTCTACTCTCGACGTTTGTTTGTTTGTTTGTTGTTTAACGCCATCAACAATATTCCAGTATATGACGCCGGTCTGGGCCAGACAATTAAGTGATTTACATCATGAGCATCAATCTATGCAAATGGATTCGATGGCATGCATTAGCCACTTCAGCGCGCCTGACAACCCGATCCCGTCAGTCACCCCTCACGGCAAGCACCTCTTCTGACCTGGCCATAAAACGTGATAATGTTACGCCTGAATATTTCTATGAAGAAAGAGTAGCCTGGAGTCTGCATGTACATAGTATTTTTAAACATAATTAATAACAAACATGAATTACTTGCATGTGAACTGCCCACATGTTTTCAAGATACTGTATGTTCAGTCATACCATATGTTTTCAAATAAAGGATGTGTAAAGTTAAAATGAGCAGCATATGTGAATGAAACAAGGGTGTAACCTACCCCACGACGTCGAATACTTGTTAATATGTCTGTTACAGACCGCTGAATAAGTGACTGTATGGTGGTAGCCACATCCGATAATAATGTAGCCTGCCTATTTACAACTGATTTCATACTTGATACAGGATGTCAAATGTCAGTCAAAGGCTTTCGGGGGCACAAATGGCAGGAAATGATGAGGTATGCGACGCAAAGATGATTACTATATATAATAATTACTACAATAGCTAAACTTTCGACTGTTGTAATTCAAGAACATAATATCTACAAAGAATGAAAATCGGTTTTGGTTTGAAAAATAAATAGACTCATTATTTTACATTACTAACTGGATACCTTCATCACATTTACATGACTGTATACCATTATGACTTTATACTGTTATCAAATGACTAAAATGTAAAATTCAAGTTCCTAATATAAATTTTTAATAAGGTCTCATCAATTGTTTTAAAAGGTAACCTTTAATGAAATTAACTGCTCATACGTGTATTATCTATTTACGTTGTAATAATGGACTAAACCTTTTTACCCTGACGATTTCATCTGCCACATGCTGTGCTAATATTCAACTATGTTCCGTTGACCAGTACTGTACAGTACTCTCTCTCAAATTTGCGCTTGGAATCATCTCTTTTCTGGTTCCCTCAAAATAAGTCGAACTTATTTTCAACTTAGTATCTTACATCTTATTGGCGTGAACCAATTGGAAAACAAATCGTCATGAATTTGAAGAAGTTTATTTGCTTGAAGGCCAAAACCAAGTACTTATAGCACGTGCGAACATTACACCATACATTAATACACAAATACAAAGATGCATAAATACACAAACACGTAAATAACAAATACATAAATACAAACATATACATAATATATACATAAATACAAAGATACATCAATACACAAACAAGTAAATACACAAATATATACGCACATAAATACATAAAATTATATATTCAAATACACAAATACACAAATATATACATGAATACATACATACATACATACATACATACATACATACATACATACATACATACATACATACATACATACACAAATATATACATGAATACATACATACATACATACATACATACATACACAAATGTAACGATTTATATTAATTAGATATAATTCAGTATTAGGTAGTGATTAATATTGCTTATAGTAGTTGAACTTTGATGAACTGTCCATGGATGAAAGCAAGTCAGAGAGCCTTCCTTGAAATGCGCATAAAAACATGCCAGCATCTTTCATCTTCTGCTGAATCCAGGCTATACCAAATCCTAAGCGAAATAATATATTCTTAATTAAAGTGACCCATGTGTGTCTTCAATCATAGTGAAGAGATTTAAGTATCATGTAAGCCTGATACGGTAGTATTGTTAAGGTGAATTATTTTAGTCCAGTATTTTATTGCTCGTCATGTAAATCTATTGAAGAAGGAGGCCGCCACACTATCCAATGACCATGTTATTAGGAGTGTTCTCATTAGGTCTGAGAAATCATTTGCAAATTAAAGTCTGTATACTTTCTATTAACTTGTAACATGAAGTTCCTCGAATTTCAGCACCATCACCCAATATTGAAAGTACCATGCATACTGTCAAATGCCATAAAGTTGCTTCATATGGCAAATATCCTAATTTCTTTTAATAATTGTTGATGCTGATGACTGATTTCTTGGTTTGAGCAGTAAGACAAATAAAGGTTTCACTTCATGATAATTTTAGGTGGAAATTAATCCTTAAATATGGTGGTGGCTAATAACTCCTAAATGTCTGTCTTTATGTGTTCATTTCTCCTCTTCTAAAGACAACAATTTGGGTTCTGTTAAATTCACTTACATTTCTGTAGAATCACAAAATGTTTCTAACACATTTACTTTCTTTGCAATCGTAAAGCAGTATCAACCATGGAAGATACATAATCTGCACATCGTAAAGCAGTATCAACCATGGAAGATACATAATCTGCACATCGTAAAGCAGTATCAACCATGGAAGATACATAATCTGCACATCGTAAAGCAGTATCAACCATGGAAGATACATAATCTGCACATCGTAAAGCAGTATCAACCATGGAAGATACATAATCTGCACATCGTAAAGCAGTATCAACCATGGAAGATACATAATCTGCACATCGTAAAGCAGTATCAACCATGGAAGATACATAATCTGCACATCGTAAAGCGAAAATATCAGCTGTTATTAAGATGCCTCCCCGCTATTCTTCTCCATTCTTCATTCAGAAAGATGATGGCTAATTTTGGGCACATACTTCAAGGGATCCCAAGTCACAATTAAGGTAATCACATACACCGGTTAGGGTTCTTGAACATGCTGATAAATTAGAGTACTACGATTCAAGTAATTTAATATAGTTGCCCCGAAGACCTACTCTTCTCAAACTCTCCAATAGAACTTCCTGATTAGCTCTATCAAATGCCTGACAAAACCCAGCAAAGTTGCTGTAAAATCTACCCTTAGTTTTCGAAAGATATTTTGTGCAACTGCAAGTGATGAAACGTGTGATCAAAAGTTGAGTATCCAGGTCTAACAACAGCTTGAGATTCGTGTATAATATTATTATCGTCACATCAGGATTGTTATTCTCTATTCATAATATATGTCAGAACTTTGCATTGTGAGTTAGGAAGAGATATGCCCCTGTAATTGTAGGTGACATCCAGGTTTCCTGATTTGTGAATATGACATATTATACCTCTTCCCCATTCCCGCGGAAAGGTCCCAGTCACAAGTATCCCGTTGAAGAGTTCAGTGAGTGAGGGTGTAATAAGATGACTTGTTGATTTAGAAATTCATTCCCAATTCCACTTAGCTCAGGTGACTTTTTCAGCTTCAATAGACTATCAAACATTTCGTTTTTAGTGAAGGTCATATATATTTCATCATTGCCTTCTATATTTATGTCGTTGATGAATGAATTATAAACAAGTGGATAAAAGAAACGTTACCACATTTGCCAAACAGCACGAAAACAGTTAGGAACACAAAGCTGGAATGCAACTTACCTATTCACTGTGCACGTGTGCACGTGCTTCACGTGATTAGCGTATAAAGTGAATTAAATCACTAAAAAATGTGCACAAAGTTACCCGTATGAAATTCTGGTATAAAACATTAGCAGGACTGTACTCTCTCATCACATGAAACCGTTTAAAACAACGAACATGCCTCGACTAACCGCAGAGCAGAGGGAGAGAGCCATCGGTATGTTGCAAATGGGAGCGACGCAGATCACGTTGCCAGGGTCACGGGCAAACTGGCAGTACTGCAGACGGGCCGAGGAGTGGAAGACCCAAGGTCACGACCCCACAGGAAGACCGGTATTTACGGGTGCTTTACCTAAAGTCCAGATTCCTAACTGTGACGTCATCATCCGCAAACAGCCTTGGACATCCAGTCAGCAGAAGGACTGTTGCTAGACGACTCCGCCTGTATGGTCTCCGTGCCTGTCGACCTTTCAAGGGCATGACGTAAACGTTTCTACACCGACGTCACAGACTGAGATGGGCCAGGACTGTACAGCAGTGGCAGCAGAGAGATTGGCGAAGAGTGCCCTTAACGGCGAGAGTAGATGCCACCTTTTCAAGTCTGATGGGCGGGTTCGAATCTACGACGACGTGATGAACGTACGGCTCGTGGTTGCGTCCAAGAAGTGGAGCATTATGGGGGTGGTAGTGTCACAGTCTGGGCTGGAATCTGCGGGGATCAGAAGACAGATCTGGTCATCATCGACGGAAATCTCACTGCACGTCGTTACATTGATGAGGTTTTGCGGCCCGGGGTACTGCCTTTCCCGCAACGACAACCACTGACGCTGTTTCAGCAGGACAACCCCCCCCCCCCCCCCCCCCCCCCCCCCCTCACACAGCTTGAGTCACTAGCGACTTTCTGAAAGCCAACAACGTGACCGTATTACAGTGGCCAGCCAGATCAACGGACCTGTCGCCCATAAAGCAACTCTGGGACCAACATGGACCCAGGATTCGGAAGCGTCAACAGCCGCCATTGATTATCACTGCAGATGCCCAGGAGAGTTGATTATCACTGCAGATGCCCAGGAGAGTTGATTATTACTGCAGATGTCCAGGAGAGTTGATTATCACTGCAGATGTCCAGGAGAGTTGATTATCACTGCAGATGCCCTGGAGAGTTGATTATCACTGCAGATGTCCCTGAGAGTTGATTATCACTGCAGATGCCCAGGAGAGTTGATTATCACTGCAGATGCCCAGGAGAGTTGATTATCACTGCAGATGTCCCTGAGAGTTGATTATCACTGCAGATGCCCTGGAGAGTTGATTATCACTGCAGATGCCCTGGAGAGTTGATTATCACTGCAGATGTCCTGGAGAGTTGATTATCACTGCAGATGCCCTGGAGAGTTGATTATCACTACAGATGCACAGGAGAGTTGATTATCACTGCAGATACCCAGGGGAGTTGATTATCACTGCAGATGCCCTGGAGAGTTGATTATCAGTGCAGATGTCCTGGAGAGTCGGTACGTGGTGCATGTTAACAGTACTTGATTACCAGCGCACTCTTATGCCCGATGTCACTGGTTGAATGTAGCATCGTGGCCGACGGCGGGGATCTCATAACAAATTAGTGAGGTATGTAGAGCGAAAGAGATCACGATTGAAAAAAATGTGTGTGGTTGCCAGGATAACAGCCAAAAACGTTACAAGTTCAACATTATTTAACGAAATAGCCATTACATCTAAGTAATTAACTACAACAAATCCGGTTCATAGGTCACCGGCAAATGTAAGCCGCCAAACAGAGGCCCATTTAAAACTTACAATACCATTATTTGCTGAACGAGGCCACGATAGGATTTATGCTCTCGCACTGGTCAACAATGGCTGTACAAAGTTTGCCACTACGTTAAACTAAATTTATTAGTAATATTCAAAGTGATTGACACACTGGTTGATGTCATCAATCCACAAACACTCCCGTGGGATTCCGGATTATGCTGGTCGTCAGAGGCAACTAATGGATCTCGTGGTCAGTTGCGTGGATAGTTGCTCACAATATCAATCACTGGTTTGTCTGATCAAGGCTCGATTATTTACAGGCCCCCGCGTTATAGCTAGAATGTTGCTAAGTATGGCGTTTAGAAGCCAACAAACAAAACAACCTACCAAGCACTAGAATGTAGGGCATGAAAATACACGTGAGACTTATTAAGAAAGAAATAGAGTTTATTATCATATAAAGGCAACATAAGGCAACAGATTTTAAATATTACAGTTGATTGTGGTGACACTACGTACATGAGATCACGATATTGGTATATTAATTGCAAACACAAACACATTATTATATAAGTGTACATGCTGACCCAAAGTTCCGGTGCGTATACAAAATTGTGGTGTTTCCATCGATGACGTGGTATTTGTTATATTACCAGACTCTGCAGCAAGGAGCTCTTGAAACAGAAGATGTATTTACAATACAAGTGTACTGTACACGACACACGAAAGACAGTATAGTTGGCATCACATCACTTCAAGAATGAGTCCCGCCATACTAACAATGATCCATCGGCTGGAGAAAAGTATTTTCGGGATTACCGATCCCCGGATGCCCAAAAGGAAATAGGAAATGGCCAAAATAAATTTACTTAAAACATCTACAACTATGAACTATTTAAATGGCATTGGACATGTTTTTTTAACTTTAATGTTTATATTTGGAAGATACATTTGTTACAAAGGGTGTTACACCAAGACAGGATGCCCGTGTTTTCTACTAGTCACGTGTCCAACAGAAGAAAAGGTTCACTACCCGCAACGAATGAGTCAGTGATATCAGAACGGAATGAGAGAAACCTCGGCCGGTACGCGAATCCCGCTCTCCGGCCGATTACTGCAGGGACGCTTGCACTTATACACACATTTATCCGGATATTTGGTAACCCGCACGATTTCACTTGAAACTTCTCAGTATGGATGAACGGGGGTCAGACAAAAGTGGGTATTCTGACACAATCGGGGTCACGGGAGGCCCGCCGTCTAAGGCGCTGCAGTTCGTTGTGCAACCCTCGGTCGAATCAGAAATCAATGATCGTTGGTCCGACTCCGATTATACTTCTAGGTATGTCTGCAAAACGTCAATAAACGTCTGAGACCTGCACCACTTCAGGCTTTCCTACCACATTGACCTGACACGCAGTGATAAAACTTGGAATACTGTTCAAAGCGGTAGTTAATATGTCTTTGATAGGTGGGTAAGTCCAGGTATGAGCTTGGGAGCTTGGGAAGGTGGTTCGTTAAAAGATCAAAGGCACCGCAAGCGTCCTCCTGCTTTAACTATAATAGTTCAGGGCAAAACTATACTTTATTACACTACACCTGGGGCTACACAAAACTATACTTTATTACACTACACCTGGGGCTACACAAAACTTAATTTCTTAAGTACAGATGCAAGATTATATGCAAGTCAGGTGGCAATTGCGTCATGCTATTATCAAAGAGACCGGAACGAGCTGCGTATCGAGTGCCTCCAATCACTACGGGAGGGCGGTTGACGGACGCGGTGCCATTAACTCGGTTGGCCTTATGGCCAGCTGGGCTGAATATTAAAACGATACTCGGTATACATAACAATCTCTTCTTAAGGGCAGTGGTGTCGAATGTAAAACTTGTACGTGGGGGACATGACATAAGGATTCTTGGGCACTAGTTCTACGTTTATGTCCCCCGCTCCATGTGCAGCAGTGAATGTGAGAAGTTAGTGTTGCTCGCACTGGCACGAGGCGTGTACTCGCAATGTAAACCCGAAGATTTTTTCAGAAATATAAAATGGATCCGCGTCTGCCACTGTGGCATTTATTAAACAACATTTAGAGCATTAAATGCAACGGTTCTGGCGTTATTGCCGCTCCAATACAATACAATACAATATAATACAAGGCTGTGTCTGGATATTCCTGTAATGTGCGTATTTATATTAAGCCAAATCCACATCCTAAACCATGCCCAAAGCGCTAAATTATTACCCCTGTCAATTGATTAATGTGCACTCGAATTTCATTGTCAACTCTCTGGAGTATACAACCCAAGCTGCCTTATGAGGCGCTAGACCATATCTTCCTACCGGGTACCCCCTTACTGCTAGGTGAGCGGAGGCCAATTTCGAAAATTCATTTCAATGTCCCTTGCCTACCAGACACTACATCAAACATGTATTTCGGTGTGGGGCAGAACCGAAGCCCTACAAACTCTCAAAGGGTCAACCTTTGCCTAACACGGTCACCCACCCACCTACTTTACGCAACCAACATTGCTAAACTTCGCCTGATTTGTGGTCTGTGCATTGTATAAGGGACCGCATGCCACTACCACATGGGTAATATTTAACACTAGTATATGACATCAAGGGCTATATGTTTACAGGAAATATTAATGATGTTCATAATATAGTGTTTGTAAAAGCACAAACATCGCACCAATCGTGATAAAGTGATCCATTCATCTTCCCGAGGCAAATGAGTTAACTGACTGTAAAAGTCCAGTTTCCACCCTTGCCGAACTAGGCTGGTATTATGGAGTTACATTTTGGCTGGACTAACGAGTCTATGCATAGTCCAATCAAAATCGCGCACCGAAATCGAAATCCGGTTCGTAAAGTGTCATGCAGATTTCGGTCGACTGCAGGATTTGCAAAGCATGTGCACCGCTTACTCGTTGTCAACAGATATTTTCTATATCTTTTCATGTTTTTAATCAAGGTGCTCACGTGATTTGATGCACTTCGCGATGTATGACTCGTTTGATCACAATAGAGATCTTGATTATCGATCAGATCGTCTTGACTTGGCGCCACCGTTTTGTTTGAAGCAAATGCAAGTGATACGAGAGGTTGAATCTGATTGGTCAATAGGAGAGGCATAGAAAGGACATTACTCGTAATAGCCACTGGTGGCGCTACGATCGAGCCCAGGAATTCCAGCCTAGTTCGGCAAGGGTGGAAACTGGACTTTTAAAGTCAGTTAACTCTCTTGCCTCGGGAAGATGTGATGTTCCATTATGTTCAAGTGACATATAAGAAGATGTCGCATCAAGACAGAGTGTATTTCGATGTCGTGAAGTTTCGGTAGAGATAAAAGGGGGTACCAGCACCTGGCCCGAAACGTTGCAGCCACAGAACATGAATTTGAAATCCATGCCAACTTTGTATTCATTTACTGTGCTATAATTATAATGAAATTGTTGTCTGCGACATCAACACAGCTCCCTCAATCACAGACAAAATGTCGGTCAGTACAGCCATCGATTGGCTAAGACTGACATCAGGATGCCGGCCACCAAGGTCGAGGTCACACCCTGTATGACTGGCGACAGGGAAACGTCTTCATCAACTGAAACATATAACGAGAAAATACAAACAAGAATATCCGTAGCTCAACTGGTCATTTGTGCTGAGGCTAGAAAATGTCATTTTGATGGTATAGTATAGCATTTGATGTCATAATATCACAAAACAAATGGATACAAACAAGCACCCAAGATACCATTAATTTGAATGTGAAGTTCACCTGGATGTGTCATCAGCGGTTCAAAATGTCCACACACAGACACACAAACACAATTGCCATCTGCTTTTTCAGAGAATATAAGTCAACATTGACAATATTGCAAAATATAAAATATGCGAGGGCCTCGGTGGTCCCAACATGGAAAATATCATTCGAAATTCTGGAACAAATTCAGGTGTTATCATTATTGGTGACCGCCTCCGTGGTCTAGTGGTCTAGTGGTAGAGCGGAAGGTCCGGGGTTCGATTCCCGGCCGCGTCATACCAAAAGACGTTAAAAGATGGTACTTGTTGTTACCCTGTCTGGCGCTCGGCATTTAGGGGCTAAAACAAGGACTGGTCGGCTCGGAGTCAGTATACTGTGTCTGAGTGGGATATTCATGTTAAACTGCGGCATGGTATCTCATTGAGCTAGCACTATAAATCGGCAGCAGTCCGGACTAGTACAAGCAGCCACACAAACACACACACGTACATGCACGTCGCTATATAAGTGCAATAATGTTGGACGCGACATTAAACCCCATTTCACCTCACCTCATTATTGGTGCGGACATCGAACAAATGTTTGATGTTTCAGCTTCGATTGCGTAGCGGTTTTCGTTGAGAGTATGTTACATTGCAATGAAATCATGCATTTGGAGATAATTTAGCATCATGGTCAAAATGAAAAGATCAAATCATGGTCAAATTATAAAACATCGCAAACACAAAAATGTAAGCTGAGCCCCACTACTGACAACACATGTAATTATTTCATTCCATTTTGAAAAAAGATGGCAGAGTAATTGCCATTAGTACGAGGTTTGTCACTATGGCTGCCGTGGCAACTTGAACAAATTAGGGTGTCATCAATGGTGGAAGCAAGCATGTGGAACTTCATGGGTGTAGTGTTCGGGAGAAGTTCGTGTTATGTTAATTAGTTGTTAGGTGTATAGTGTCGTTAACCGGAAGTCTTGGTGCGTGTGTTGGACATCGTTTTCACGTAATGAAATGTGCATCTGGGAGTGTGTCGTCTGATGTCTTTTATCGTCGCATTGATGCCCTAGTCTAGACCTTCGTCCAGTATCGCGTCTTATCCAAATAATGACCACATGGAACCAGAGATCTATTATATGGTCTCTGATGGAACATAAACACTGCAATTGGTCCTTTTCTGAGATGTTTAGGGTGGACGACGGACGACGGAATAAGTGCTGTTTGCAGGCCATGACGTAAGCTCAAACTCATAATTACGTATTCCAGAAAATCAAATTCGTTGCTTTGGTCCATGTAAATAGACACATATATATGCTATTTGTCAATGAAGAAATTGCAGATTGACGCCATTGACGTGTGAGAAACATTCAACTATCATAAAGTCAAACCCCAAAGCTGTACAGTATCAACGTATAATTAGGCTTGGCAAACATATCGTATTGGTATGTTTGTTTGTTGTTTAACGCCCCACTCAGCTATATTCTAGCTATATGACGGGGATCTGAAAATACTCGAATCTGGACCAGACAACCCAGTGATTGATATCAGGAGCATCAATCTACGCAATTGGGATACAATGACATGCATCAACCAGGTCAGCAAGCCTGACCACCCGATCCCGTAAGTCGCCTCTTAGGACAAGCATAGTCGCCATTGACAGCAAACGTAGGTTGCTGAAGACCTATTCTAACTCGGGTCTTCACGGGTATGTATTGGTATGCATTCAGCATGCTAAAGATGCCCTTGTGTCTGAGTAACCGCTGCATCTGATGAAAGTGTCACATCAACTGATGGGGCGATGGGGTGCCCTAGTGTGTCACGCTTTGTATATCATCGACATTCTGTTCAGGCAGCCTGCATTCAACTCACTGACACGAGTTTGCGAACGTCAGAAAAAGTACCTACCTACGTGACAGGTACGCCTGGTCCAGCCCCGGGCACAGCCTGAAGTACAGTTCCCAGTCTCCTTGTGACAGGCAGCGCCATCGAGACAGGATCCACATTTAGACTTACAGAGCTGTCCATACCATCCGTCCTCGCATTCTGCAATGATTGGATATATACAAGGAATGTCCTATTGTGAACATTTAACCAGTAATCTGAGTTGATTTCTAAATATTCATGTTTGAAAACGTATTTCAGCTTGGGAAAGTACACACCTTTACATTGTATGTGGTATGATTTTTAAACATATTCTTAAAACGTCTCTGTTCATAATCTTCTAAAATACGTACCTGAATACGTCTTGAACCAGCATTTTTTTAATATCCACTTAGAATTGACTCAACTAGTTTTCCTCTTTTTGTCGAAAAAGATGTGAAAATATTTCTACCCCAAATGTCTACACCATAAAGCAAAATAAGTTGTATCATTGCATCAAACATTCTGAAAAACGTTGTGTAAAACTCTCCTTGACATACTTTAGATTCTTCATGATACCAAGAAAGAACTTGTGTAGAAGCTTTCCTAACATGTGCAACCCAATTCAAACGGTTTTTGACAGTAACCCCCGGTTAGGTGTTGGGCGGTGGGGTAGCCTTGTGGTTAAAAGCGTTCGCTCGTCACGCCGAATTAAACCTTCCCAGTTGTGTTGCAAACGAATATATTTCTTACACGTTTTCTTTCCCATTAAGCAGCAGAATCTCTGCACTTGTACACAACAGACGTAATTCAAAATCAGTACATGCATTGTCGTGTGGCTGGATATTCCAGCACATCGATCACTGGATTATCTGGTTTGTTTACAGGTCGTCGTCTCATGGCAGGAGTGAGTGAGTGAGTGAGTATGGTGTTACGCCGCTTTTAGCAATATTCCAGCGCTATCATGGTGGGGGACACCAGAAATGGGCTTCACACATTGTACCCATGTTGGGAATCTCTCATGGCAGGAATACTGCTGGGCGGAGTCAGGCAACAAATACTGTTTATACAAATTGTATGAATGGCGGGTGCTCCCTGTAGGGCAGAACATGCTTACCCTTTTCGCGAACACCTGTTGTCATCACCGATTGTCAGAGTCCATTCATATAATTTTCACAATTATTGTACCCTTTACGCAGGAAAATGTAGAGCAATTATTCTCTTGCATTGACAATTAATAATTATTACGTAAAACATTGATCCGCTTGATAAGACGAACGGCCAAATATGTTGTTGTTAATTTCAATAACATAACATTTACACCACTTAACATGAAGTTGAGTTACTTTTTCAGTTGGTATATTTTCGACTGAATTGGACCAAACTACGAACCTTTTGTTGATAAAACCTGTTGAAAATCTTAAACACTCAACGAATCCCTATTCCCCCCGACCCCATTTGTTCACACCTACTTAATATTTTAAAGAAATAAAAATAATTGAACAGAACAAAACAAAATATTTCGCAGAGTCTGTCCATGAGGCCAATATAACAAATGATTATATTATAAACACACATTGTGATTCTAAGAGCGCTTCAATTGCCAATTTCTAAGTTTAAACAAGATAGAAAGCTAGCAGGAATTGGGTGCTGATTAAAGAAATTAACTTATGCATGGTAGGATATTCATAATAATACAAGGCAAATATCTTGGCCTGAAGTAAGTAAAAGCTGAACACATAAATAGTGCATGGTATTTAGCATCTAAGTCTTCTCCAAATGCATGAACTGGAAGTCAAGTCATCATCACTGAAAATTTTCCATTTTCGTATCTAAAATTAATTTCAACATCTAAATTTTGTAAGAGCTCTTCTGAAATCTAGCGACTTAATTGAAGACACATATTGTTCAAGTTGTTATATAGATTTGTAGGTCGGTATAATTCTTGTCTTGGTGAATTAGATGTACAGTCTGACCATTCTTGCATGACAGTGTCCGACATCTTGATTCAACCAAACATTTCGAAATCCACAACTAATCAACGTATTTCTTGCAAACTCAATTTTTACAATCAAATTCATCATATTTACATAGCATGACATAACAGTCCCTCGGATATTTGCCTAAAGGTATTCTAAATAGCTTAATTAAAGACTAAACTCCTCTAACAACACCATGTTCCGACCCTTTTTTTGATTCCAGTTTACATAATACAGCAGGATTTGAAAATCTGTATCCTGTTTTCAAAACATATATAGAATATTCATTTTTCTTGTCTTAACGCTGTAACTACATTTCCACACCATGCAACAACATAGGTAAGATTTTACAAACAAAAATTTTATATAATATGTATCAACATCTACATCGGCTGCTTTTTGATTGGCTAATGTCTGCTGACTGTTAGTCATTTCTATGGAATGTCAAAATTCCCGAAAGGCCGTTATGACGCGTCCTCAGATCTTTGCGAAGCAGAAGCTAGCACTGACATCTTATTTTAATGAAATTGTGGTGTTTTCAAAACATTATATTGAAAAGTAGTTCTGGGTATTGTTCTGGTATTAGATTGTCCAAATAGGATATTTTGTTACTTTTCAGCTCTTTTATACTATCAATAATTTTCCTCCATGCCGTGGGGCGGTCGGGTAGCCTAGTCGTTCAAGCGTTCGCTCGTCACCCCGAAGACCCGGGTTCGATTCCTGACATGGGTACAATGTGTGAAGCCCATTTCTGGTGTCCCCCGCCGTGATATTGCTGGAATATTGCTAAAAGCGGCGTAAAACCATACTCACTCACTCCTCCATGCTGTTGAAGAATCCAGTATATCCGATATTAATTCAATATAATCACTCACTGTGCATTCATCCCGTGTGTCCTGTCTTTCTCTCGTGTCTAAATGGGTTTCCTACTTCGTGTAATAGTTAGATGGAAACCATTGTCACTTACACTTTTGAAGAAGTCTGGTATTAGATAATTAAAACATGGCGCTTTGTTACTTCTTAAATCTTTTATAAAATAAATATTCCAGTTAGCTGGACACGATTGTGCTAAAATAGTTGGACCACGCGTCTATTCCAAAGATATTTTTGGGACTTTGATTAAGATTATATTTTTATAATACTGTGCTTAATTTTGCTTGTTTCAATTGATAAGTCGTTTCTTTTGCCGTCAATCACTCACTCACTTCGAAATGTCTGAATGTCTTTCATGAATCTTTTAAAACATCGGCATCTGTCCGTTTTGAGACATTTACATACATTATCGAACCACGCTTGAGAAAATGTTTTGTGCCAAAATACTTTTATATACACAGTACTTCCTATGGGCGTATGGCGCTTGGATGTCAAAATACATGAATGAGAAAGTTGATAAGCGGTAGTGTCCACGGGCGTAGGTGTTTGCGTGTTAAAACATGGGAAAGTTGATACGCGGTACTCTGTACGGGCGTTGGTGTTTGCGTGTTAAAACATGGGAAAGTTGATACGCGGTACTCTGTACGGGCTTAGGTGCTTGGGTGTTAAAACATGGGAAAGTTGATACGCGGTACTCTCCACGGGCGTCGGTGCTTGGGTGTTAAAACATGGGTAAGTTGATACGCGGTACTGTCCACGGGCGTCGGTGCTTGGGTGTTAAAACATGGGAAAGCTGATACGCGGTACTCTGTACGGGCGTTGGTGTTTGGGTGTTAAAACATGGGAAAGTTGATACGCGGTACTCTCTACGGGCGTAGGTGTTTGGGTGTTAAAACATGGGAAAGTTGATACGCGGTACTCTCTACGGGCGTAGGTGTTTGGGTGTTAAAACATGGGAAAGCTGATACGCGGTACTCTGTACGGGCGTTGGTGTTTGGGTGTTAAAACATGGGAAAGCTGATACGCGGTACTCTCTACGGGCGTAGGTGTTTGGGCGTTAAAACATGGGAAAGTTGATACGCGGTACTCTCCACGGGCGTTGGTGTTTGGGTGTTAAAACATAGGAAAGTTGATACGCGGTACTCTCCACGGGTGTAGGTGTTTGGGTGTTAAAACATGGGAAAGTTGATACGCGGTACTCTCCACGGGTGTAGGTGTTTGGGTGTTAAAACATAGGAAAGTTAATACGCGGTACTCTCCACGGGTGCAGGTGCTTTGATGTTAAAACATGGGAAAGCTGTACGCGGTACTCTCCACGTGCGTAGATGCTTGGATGTTAAAACATGGGAAAGTTGATACGCGGTACTCTCCACGGGTGTAGGTGTTTGGGTATTAAAACATAGGAAAGTTAATACGCGGTACTCTCCACGGATGCAGGTGCTTGGGTGTTAATACATGGGAAAGCTGATACGCGGTACTCTCCACGTGCGTAGGTGCTTGGATGTTAAAACATGGGAAAGCTGATACGCGGTACTCTCCACGGGTGTAGGTGCTTGGATGTTAAAACATGGGAAAGTTGATACGCGGTACTCTCCACGGGTGCAGGTGCTTGGATGTTAAAACATGGGAAAGCTGATACGTGGTACTCTCCACGGGCGTAGGTGCTTGGATGTTAAAACATGGGAAAGTTGATACGCGGTACTCTGTACGGGCGTAGGTGTTTGGGTGTTAAAACATGGGAAAGTTGATAAGCGGTACTCTCCACGGGTGTAGGTGTTTGGGTGTTAAAACATAGGAAAGTTAATACGCGGTACTCTCCACGGGTGCAGGTGCTTTGATGTTAAAACATGGGAAAGCTGTACGCGGTACTCTCCACGTGCGTAGGTGCTTGGATGTTAAAACATGGGAAAGTTGATACGCGGTACTCTCCACGGGTGTGGGTGCTTGGGTGTTAAAACATGGGAAAGTTGATACGCGGGACTCTCCACGGGCGTAGGTGTTTGGATGTTAAAACATGGGAAAGTTGATACGCGGGACTCTCCACGGGTGTAGGTGCTTGGGTGTTAAAACATTGGAAAGCTGATACGTGGTACTCTCCACGGGCGTAGGTGCTTGGATGTTAAAACATGGGAAAGTTGATACGCGGTACTCTCAACGGGTCAAATGTCCCGGGATGTCAAAGTAACGGCAAGTGAGTCCACACATAGGACTAAAGTCCGTGAAGGTCACAGCATGGTGAAGTACTGTCAACCATTTACCTACCCACCAAAGACCCGAAACAAAGTTCCATGCGAACCCTACGGATATAGCGTTAAGTAGGCACATTTTCATCTTAGAGTAATTTAAGCGAAACATATATATCGGGAGTTTCGAATTTAATGTCAACACAGATACTGACAGGCATTCATGACAACGCTGCTTCTTAATGTCGTATTTCCATGTCAGAACGATTTCAAAAGCGCTAAAATAATATCGGTGTTACTTTAAAGAAGACCAGTTTCATGTCTCACCCTGATAACAGTCATGACCTATGAACCCTGGGGGGCACTCCCTCCTGCGACACTCGCCGCTCCCCTTGTCACAGACTTCTCTCTTGTCAAGACAGTTGCAGCGCTTGTCACAATCTTTCCCAAACCAAAAGTCGCTGCAAACTTCAAAGAACGAATATATCAATACATTTCTTACCTTAGTCGTCCAGAAGTATTGACATGGTAAACCTGTTTTATTCCTCGGAGTATCAATATCCTCTCAATCTATCTTTCTTCTGCACAACACACATGAAAATCTTACTTAAAGTAAAGTGAAAAAGCAAGTAAAACTTTATTATAGAACCACTTAACATAAACCCGTCCTTCATAATGGACATTAAGCTGATATTACATAGTCATTTGAGTGACGCCTGTCCCTTAAAATTGAAAATGACCAAAAGAACAAGAATTCTTCTATAATTCCAATGACAACGCTTCTTTCATTGCCCCTTTTCAATAGGCATTTGCAGATGCATTATGTAGTGCACGTATCGACCTTGCTTAGCACGGGAGATATTTGGAAGCCATTAAATCTGTCAAACATGTCTCTCTGCGATTGCAACTTGTGCTATTTCAACTGTTATAAGTGTTGTGATGACTGCATCACATGTTATGGTATTGAGAAAGGAACTGTAATCAAGGCTTCAGTTCAGCAGATGTAAAACGGAAACTCACCGAAAACCTGGACTTCACAGATGCTGAGGGAGTTGTCTGGGATTCTGATCATGACTTCCTCCCCAGTCAGAGATTCGTTACAGCTTACTTGTGCCTCTGAAGGGGGTCGGGCCCATCCGCTCCACCTCTTGCAACGCCTTCCACCCACCAGAATCTCAACATTCGTCTTCCTGTAATCCACTTAACGAATAATCAAATAATTAGTCGCCACAATAACTAATGAATAATAAAGACGTTGTGTAATATTCAAGAAGATCGGGGTAGTTCCAAAGGTATAAAACGGCGCAGTTGTCGGTGTGGAGTTACGTCCCTTGACCGTGGCTGGATCTCAGATTCGTCAGATGAGATATGGTTTGTTTGCACCATACCTGTTGTCGAGGAGTTCACTGAAGTTGCTGGGATTTCCTCATATTCGACCTACCCCCCGAGACGTAGAACACAACTCACATTTGATGAAACTGTTGAAATCGCTATTCAGATTCATAGTCTAGTAGGCCGCCTCCGTGGTCTAGTGGTTGAGCGTCTGCCCGGAGTGCTGAAGGTTGGGCCGTCGATCCCCGGTCGCGTCATACCAAAAGACGTTAAAAAATTGTACTTGTTGTTTCCCTGCCTGTCGCGTGGTATTAAGGGGATTCTGTACAAGTAGTTCCTTGACAAAATAATACACTGAATATCCCTGCTTTTAAGATGTAACTAACCCAAAATGTTTATATTTACATTTAAATTGTCAACGTCATAGGAAGGCGATATTTTAGCAAGTCTGAGAATCTTTGATATTTTTCGATAGGTTTTCCACAAAACCCATTTGTCATCACGAGTCCATAAAATCGATTATCTAAACATGGATCGCAAATTTATTGAAGATTTGCTAACTTACCGTTTTCTGGGAAATATATCGTCATATAACGAATCTCATTGATGCCGTTTTTCTTCAGCTGGACTCTCCACCATGTGTTATTGTGCAACCCCGTCTGGGCGCAGTACGGTCTCTTGAAGAGGTCAACGTTTGTGTTGCCGTCGATGGCCTTGACAGCGCTGAACACCACCCTCCTCCCCTGAGTTAGGTGGCTCCTCTCGGTGCGAGTGCTATGCTGTGAAGCCTTGCCTTGCCAGGCCACGTTTCCTGCCATAAATGAAGCAGATGTGATAAAAAATACAAAGTAGCCATTACCGCATTCGATAAGTTGTCTCACTCAAGTCTCATCTTATCCTTTTATTGTCATTACCGACATTTTTCCATCTAAAGCAAAAGTTATTTTCACTTTCAAACGTATATATATTTATGGGGATTTGGACCAAGGAAAATGTTATAGAAACCAACTCGAAGAAATGCAGCCAAACAAATGTCGCTGGTACTGCATGGTTGCTTTGTAAACATAGCGAATATTCGGTCGGAAGTGCTTCAAATGTTTCATATGCGAGGACAGTCCGACGAAATCTTCGCTTGTACGGCATCCGAGCGAGGCGTCCAGACAGAGGGCCTATCCTGATGGCAAAACATCGACGTCGACGTCTCCAGTGGTGCAGGTAACGACAGCACGCCAATAGGGAAACGTCCTCTCCACTGATAAGTCCCGTTTCCTACATGACCGATCGGATGGCAGGGTACGTGTCTACAGGCTTCGAGGTTGACGTTACGTCACGCCACGTGTTCTTGAAGGCGATTGCTTTGGAGGAGGTGGCGTTATAGGCTGGGATGGAATACAGGTTACGGGAAGGCCTCAGATGATTGATTGATAGGAATGTGAGTGCATCAAGATAAGGAGTGAGAATTCCAAACGGACGTTTTACAGTTTTGGCAACAGGACGACCTTAGTTGACATGTTGCTAGGGTTGTATCTGACTCGGGCCAACGTTCACGTATTACCCTGGCCTGCAGCATCCCCTGATCTGTGTAACATGGTTACAATGTCTGGGATGAAATGGAACAATGTATGCGACGTCTCACAAATCACTCAACACCATGGCTAGAACTCCGGCGTATCTTTCCTCATATACTGAAGGTCATTCCCAAGGCCTTTCCTCAACGTTTAGCGGCCTCAGTGTGGCGAAGTCGTCAAGCCTGCACTTACTTACTTCACTCGCTACTGACATCTTGCCTCTGAAGCCCCTCCTTTGTTTTTGGCAAGATCACTCCTTATATCGACTGTTACGTGTGACCTTCAGATATTGTACTTCCCATGTGATATAATAGCACTGATGGTGGTACAATCGTTGACCGATTCTCTGTTTTTTGTATGTCATAATAACTTTTGACTGTCCGCTTGGAAGATATTTTACAAAGAAATGAGTTTTTATGAATATGATTTAGACCACATACTGAATCAACCACTCTGGCTGAATCATTTATTTAAATCATCTTATATTATAAAAAAAACTGGTTTAATCAAGGTGTCCAGAGTGTTAGAGACCTTTGCGACAACAACGGTTTTCTTAGTTTTGAAAATTTCAAACAAAAATATAAGATCCAGGGAACTTTTCTAGACTTTCAAAAATTACTGAACAATATTCCAAAGAGTTGGAGATTTCAAATCAGAGACAAAACCCTTGATGTTAATGTAGTTCAGCTGAACAATATATGTAAACACTTTTTTAATAACGTTAAAAAATCAAGGACTTTTTATGATGAACTAATTAGGAATGATACAGTACCGAAATCATTAGAACACTGGAATACGGTTTTTCCTCAAGGTTTGGATTGGAAAGATATACTTCTATGTTATAGAAAATGCACGCGCGATTGTAAACTTTTAGATTTTCAATATCGATTTATAAACAGAATAATTTACACTAAGAAAGGGTTACTCAAGATGAAACTTGTCGATGAAGATATTTGTATTTTCTGTAAAACTGCTTCCGAAGATATGTCTCATGTATATTTCGATTGCCAAGCAGTTCAACAATTCTGGCTTAAAGTTGAAAACTTCCTAAATAACAACCTGCAAACAAATTTTATCCTTTCGAAACTTAATATCTTTTTTGGTATTTCCACTCAAAACCATGTAACAAATCATATTATTATACTAGCAAAAAGATACATCTACATATCAAACATAAAACAACAAGATTTATCTTTCGAGCAATTTCTTTCACTACTAAAAGCCACAATTTGTTTGGAAAGTTTTATCGCTAAAAAAATAATCAATTTAACCAATATGCTCAGAAATGGCAAAACTTACATCTCATAATCTAACGAAGCAGTTGAAACATACTACCTGTTAATAAGTAATCATCTATTTCTTGTAAACAAATATTTATAATCTCCCTCTCAGTTTGAGAAGACGACATATCCTACACAACCTGCCTGTCCTCAGCTATGAAAACTATAACTTGTGTTAATACTGTCATATATATACATGTTAATACCTACACTTGTAACAATATACATGAAATGGAATAATAATAAAAAAGATGGTAAAAAGTAAAAAATAAAAATTTAAAAAATTAAAAATTTGACTGTCAGTATATATACAACTTCACATGTACAAACTCTGGGACAGGAAAAAGCGAAGTCAAATAATGACAAAGAAAGATATCACCTTCAATACTAAATCGAGTTAACAGAATTTGGGATAATGAGATTACATTGTACTTTATCAGTAACATACATCCGTCCTGCGGTAAGGCCGTGACACGATGTCCCATATTGTGAGGCAATACAAACACAGTGGTATAACAGTGTAAAAATAAGTGAGCACACAGACGTAGTGCGGATACATAGACTGATCGATAAGTGAACTTGCTTTTCTGGCAGTAGCGTCCATACCACCCTTGCTGGCACAGCCCGTCTCGGCATTGTCCATCTGGATTCACGTCACAGTTAAATTTGCAATTACACCTCGCTTCTGCAATAAATAAAGTCAACCGTTAGCAATGTCACTGTCACATAATACCGTTATCTGAACATGACATATAGTGTTATCTAAACATGGCATGTGGTACTATTTTGTAACAGGGCTCAGTAACATACAAGGAAACAGTAAAGTTTCCAAAACGTTTCATGGTAAACGTGTGGAGGACAATTCTAATCCTTGACGCATCACTGACGTTGCAATTCCTTCTGTTGACTTGTACAATATGTTCCCGTGATTTTTCAGATGAGCATTTGATTTGGATTTGCATGCGCAAAAAATACCGTTATGTAAACAAATCATACAAATGCTCATAAAACTGGAATGTATATATGATATAAATGACCGTTGTATAAAGACGCTATATAATACGGATATACACATTTAAACATGATATATAGCACAGTAATGCCAAATTAAACATGACAATACTGTTATGTAGACATTGCTTCTAAGTCAGATTGTACATGCGCCATATGATACCGTTGTATAAGCACGTCATGGGACACAGTGACTGACATATAAACACGGTATATAATACCGTTACCACAACATGGTCAACCGTTATGTTGACATGGTATATAACGGTATAGCCACGGGACATGACTTAAGTAATAGCTGGTATAGTGTGAATCCTGGAGATCCTGTTTGACTTATCAAAACGTGCAAGTCGTGTTTGAAAATGGACGTGTGTGCACACCTCGAGGTGTTCATGTGTACATCAAATGAGGCCAAAACGTTACATTCACTTCTCGTACATGGGAAGGGGCGATGGGAAAAGTGTTTCCGAACTAATTGATAGCAATGCTAGTCACACCACCGGCATAATCTCCACAGCGGGCACGGTGGCTCAGTCGCCAATACCAACATACAGGACATGGAGTCTACTTGCTGTGGGCAGGATTTCACGCCCCGGCGCGATTATAGAAGCTTCACTGACAAGTGGGAACATTCGTTTTCTACTACATGCACGATATAATAGTTTATTCACTTGAAGTAATGCGAATATGATTTCCCCTTGTTGTTTGTTTGTTTCATGTTGTTTAACGCCGCGCTCAGCAATATTCCAGCAAAATGACGACAGTCTGTAAATATCGAATTCCTTGAAACGTTTTCAGGAAGAAGAGCATCGGACACGTCTTTCTTCTCCAAATGTGGTCTTTGAGTATGCAACATCTAGAAAAACACATACTAGTTTTGTTTGTTTGTTTGTTTGTTGTTTATCGACGCACTCAGCAATATTCCAGCTGTATGACGGCGGTCTGTAAATAATCGAGTCTGGACCAGACAATCCAGTGATTGACATCATGAGCATCGATCTACGCAATTGGGATGCGATGACATGCATCAACCAGGTCAGCGAGCCTGACCACCCGACCCCGTTAGTCGCCTCTTACGACAAGCATGGGTTGCTGAAGACCTATTCTAACCCTTGTAGTGATACGGATATGTCCCAGCCTTGCCGTAAAAAGGATTTGCTATCCCCTTGCATAATTTATTGATATTCCCTTGCAGCATTATGGCTAGACATCCGCTTAGAGTAATACAGATATGATATATATCTGTCTCACTCCTGCAATAGCCATAACGTATCCTGTAATAATACGTATGTGATAACCTCCTGTAGCCACACGGATGTGATGTATATGAAAAACGTGGCCAGTCGAACGATAGATCTAGTAAGTAAGCAAATAGATAACCAGGAAGGGAATCTCTTTTCACAGGTGCACGCGGGCAGCTGTTCACAGATCAGTGCCTGGTGTAAGTGTTACCAATAGCTATTACAGATTCCAGATTGATATTATCGATTTTGAAGGACTCACAAACCACTCTGCACGTACACAACTTTGAATGACAGCAAAGTTCAACCAAATAAACTATTGCAGATAACTGGTCACGTTCATATCTACTCTGTGACAAGTTACCGTCATGTAAATCCTGCTCAGGACAAGCACATATCCCACAAACACCCAGGAAGCACACCATCCAATACAGTAGCATCCAAGCTTGATGTTACTCAGCCTCACAGTCCTGAGCCCAATTTTGACTTGGTATCTTCCCGTGGTTGTTTCAGGTGAACGATTGACATGCCTTTGCGTGAGTTTGTGACGGGTGAGGAATACCTGGTGTCATCACTATGTGATAGCGATTCATAAACACAAACTCCTCGTATCGTATCTTTTAGCATAGATTTCTTATGACGATGGAAAGGGGTTTGTCGTTTATATTTACACACTGTCCGCCATGTCACCGAGCCTGATGACCGAACATAAGTTACTATGCACCTATTCTGACTAGAGGGAAATCAAAATTTACTCCAACTAAAGTTAGAATGATTTGGCATGTGTAGATTGTCTCAATATAAGCTTTGTTCTTGGATTTATTAAGATTTTACTTTTCATTTTGAAAATACCTATGTTTGAATAAGATAACTTTATGTCACGGACTAAATGTAAGGGTATGTGTTTATAACAGTGTGTACATAGAATATAATATACATGTATGTTGCTGTGTCATGACAATCTCGGTTCGGAGTCAACTCAACTCAATAAAGCACCAACCGGATCCCACGGATTGGCTGATCAATGAATAAAACATTTAAATTTATATGACACAAAATGACACAATGATACACCATGTGTTACACAAATTGCATGAATGACACAATGATACACCATGTGTAACACTTACTGTATGAATGACACAATGATCAACCCTGTGTTACACCAACTGTATGAATGACACAATGATACACCTTGTGTTAAACAAACTGTATGAATGACACAAGGATACACCATGTGTTACACTAACTGTATGAATGACACAATGATACACCATGTGTTAAACAAACTGTATGAATGACACAATGATACACCATGTGTTACACAAACTGTATGAATGACACAAGGATACACCATGTGTTACACAAATTGCATGAATGACACAATGATACACCATGTGTTACACTAACTGTATGAATGACACAATGATACACCATGTGTTACACTAACTGTATGAATGACACAATGATACACCATGTGTTACACTAACTGTATAAAAGACACAAGGATACACCATGTGTTAAACAAACTGTATGAAAGACACAATGATACACCATGTGTTAAACAAACTGTATGAATGACACAATGATACACCATGTGTTAAACAAACTGTATGAATGACACAATGATACACCATGTGTTAAACAAACTGTATGAATGACACAATGATACACCATGTGTTACACAAACTGTATGAATGACACAAGGAAACACCATGTGTTACACAAATTGCATGAATGACACAATGATACACCATGTGTTACACTAACTGTATGAATGACACAATGATACACCATCTGTTAAACAAACTGTATGAATGAAACAAGGATACACCATGTGTTACACTTACTGTATGAATGACACAATGATACACCGTGTGTTAAACAAACTGTAGGAATGACACAATGATACACCATGTGTTACACTAACTGTATGAATGACACAATTATACACCATGTGTTACACTAACTGTATGAATGAGACAATAATACACCATGTGTTACCCTAACTGTATGAATGACACAATGATTCACCGTGTGTTAAACAAACTGTATGAATGACACAATGATACACCATGTGTTACACTAACTGTATGAATGACACAATGATACACCATGTGTTACACTAACTGTATGAATGACACAATGATACACCACGTGTTAGACTCACTGTATGAATTACATGTGTATGCCCTACAGGTCTAGAGGTAGACTTACCAATCTCAGCCAGGAATCCGCAGCACAGCAGAAGAACGAAGCACCAGATTTCCATCTTGTTACCAAAAACTGTAAATAGTGCCTAGAGAGAATGATCTAGGCGCTATAATTGTGTCATATGAACCATATACAAATAGATAAAGACTGTTTCATATCTATTATTCTTAATGCCATTACTTTGTGATATTTATTTTGGCGTATGTCCTAAAGTCTTCAGTCCAGATATTCCCAATAGTTTCGTCTCAGTGTTTGCACACAATCAATCATTTATTTCATTTTTTTATGAATTTCTGACATCGGAAATAAAACATATGCAACGCGTAATGAATAATGATGCTCTGGTTACGTTATATTTGCATAATGATCTCACAGCTGAATATTGTAATCGAGTAAAAGTAATAAGCTAATACCATGATAATACATTTCTCGAACAGAACGTTATTTTTAAACGTTTTTGAAAACAATACCTCATCAGTAACACGGTAACCCCAGATGTACCCTAGGAACGCTGTCTGTGGAGAACACCAGGGAATTAGAAATGTCAGCCTGCTGAGGTATGCACCTGATGAAATGCACATGCCCAGCCGTGATGAGATCAATGCTATATTAGATCGCTGTTGTTAGAACGGTATTATGACCTCTTTACGATCACTACGCACAGATTGCTAAAAGTGTCTTATTGTTACCTTTAACGGATCACACCTTGAAGGCGTTGTTTTCACGACTCGCTGGGCAGCAGTTTCAAGTGCAAGCGGATGCTTCTTCAGAATGGATATAAATAGTCATTAGGAATCCATTTTGGAATAACTTATCACGTGATTGTCACATGACCATGCACTGTCCCACCATCGTCTGAATTCCTGGTCTTGGAACGGTCAGAGCAGAATGTACACTATAGCTTCAGATCCATTTCCTACAGTGCTGGTCGGACTGAATGGAAAATTGCTGTCAAATCGCCAGCTTGCTCCATATATACCTCGTTATTGATGCGTTTCTCGGATCCCGGATGCAAGTTGGTTCTCAGGGGACGCAGAGGAACAGCCAATGAATTAGGAGTGTTTGGAGCGCCCTACTTGTGTTGTTTCCGCTAATATGAAAATATGTTTGCCTTATTTCATTGAGATATGATTCCCATGTGTACGAGGGGAAGCTAAATGGAATTACGTGCATTGATACGTCAGTTAGACTTGGATACAAGAGATTGATATTGATCAGACTAGGAGGACTTAGTTTCATCTCTCACACACACACACACACACACGCACGCACGCACGCACGCACGCACGCACACACACACACACACACACACACACACGCGCACACACACACACACGCACGCACACACACGCACACACACGCACGCACACGCACACGCACACAAACATACACACACAAACACACACACGCACGCACGCACGCGCACACGCACAAACACACACACAAACACGCACGCACACAAACACAAACATACACACACAAACAAACACACACACACTTTTGCAAAACGTGCGGAGGGGTATGTATTATTTATTTATGTCCAGCTGTTTCACAACTTGATCAGAACTGACTCTGACTTCTGTTAGGTATGTGCAAAAGTTTAGGATCGGATTGTTCATGTCACATAGCTCTTTGTGTTTTGACCATTATAATATTATCTCTTAACGCCAAAACATATTAACATGTCTGTGGGACACGCCTCCCTTTGAGAAAATTGTAAACTGGTCTAATAAATGCGATACCCCTTTAACAATAATTCCTTACGTAAGAACAAGAGGGCGATAATGCTTCCACACAGGAATAACTATAGCAGGAGAAATGTTCCAAAACAGTATTGTTTTATGTAAAAGTGTTCATTTTGGTACAGTATTGAAATATACAATAAAATTGTTTCCTACAAATTATAACGAAGGGACAAAACGGTTGTTAAATTTGATCATGTTTATCACACATTCCCACAACAACGTGTAATACGTAATCTGTGACTGGGTATAAACAAGATGCTTCAATGAAGACTGGGATAGATGTGAATGTGCACCCGTATGACCCCTACCATGTTGGAAATGTGAATTTGTGCCGCATCAGCAAATTTATTCGTTTTCAAAAACAATATGTCAAGATATCCATCAATGCTGTATATTGTAAGATGTTTTATTATTTTTTTTAAATTTAAGTCAAATCATGTTTAAAAAATACAACCATGTAAGGTATTCTTCGAGTGCTGACTGTGCCGATACAGGTCATTTTTTAATATATTAACGCTAACTTGCATTGAGATATTTTCAAGTAAAAATCAAGCATATGATAAAATCAACTGAGGGGTATAGTTTCTTTTGCTCCTCAGTTTATGTCACCCGGACTACCGGTATTGCGCGTGTAACTTGAACTGAAGATCTATATGAACGCCATGTTATAGTGACCAGTACACCGAAGATATTTCAATGTCGCAAGTGTTGAATTTTACGGAAGGATTTTCAACCTCTATATGAACGCCATATTGTGTTGATTTTTACTGAAGGCGTTTGAAACATCTATATGGACGCCATATTGTAGAGACTTGAATTGTAGAATTTTATAACCTATTGTAGTGGTATGTACTGAAGGATTTAAGGACGTCATTTTGAAAGTCATATTGATAGTGACTTCTACTGAAGACTTTAAAGCATCTACATGAACGCCATATCGAAGTGACTTGCATAGCGATCTCTGGTTGAAACGTCAATTCCATAAAAGTACAGACCGTGTTGATGTCATTAGTGCGAAGGATAGGCTGTCCTGTACATTATATCTTGCTGTTTACTATCAGTTCCTAAAACCGTAATAACGCCTCTCCGGGCCTTGTGTGCGACTTTGGAAAACTCTTTTTCGATATTGCTTGAATACTGCATTGTTCATATTTTAGAAAACAAAAACAATGTTCTTCCAACTAATCTTTAATCAAAGGGCCTCTTCAATTGGCTAAGAATTGATTCGACTTCTTTGGCTGGACAGACACTGTGGTATCCCGCCACAAGCTGATATAATCTGTGATCACACGATTCGTCAAAGTATGCACTCGTGTTCACTTGCCCCATCTGACAATTGCGGTGTATATGCACCTAATCCGCTTTTGTCTGAAACAAAACAGGTTTCAGGCGCTCGGTTCCTCATATTGGCAAATTAACCCTAATCATTTTGCAGTAGAAATTCCAATAGGTCACCAGGTGGTTATTTTCAGCTTCATATAGCCAGTTGGAATTGCGCCTCTCCAGTCAAATCCTACGTCCGAGTTGAAACATTCCATCACTCAGTCAGTAATCGAAGCGAGATTACAGGAATTGAATATCGATTTTTATTACGTCTCCCTCGTTGCCGAGTCAGCACACAGGGCTGAGTCAGCTGTTAGCCAAGTATCGTGATTGTTTGGCATCTAATCTCTCTTACATACGGTTTAATGACCTAGTGCAACACGGTATTGATGCAGGACATGTTCAGCCACGCAAGCACCGATTTTACCGTTACTGGTTCAGCCATGCCTGAAGAGAGAGATCATCACGTCCAGGAATCAGTGGAGTTTTGTGTGTGAGCTAGATCATGGGCCTTGGGCTTCCCTGGTTGTTATGGTATCGCGGGAACACACTGAGAGTTCGAAGCCAACTTGGCGTGTGGCAATCGACTACAGGATCATTAATGGTTGTTCGTTCCCAATAGGGGCGGTGGGATAGCCTCGTGGTTAAAGCGTTGGCTCGTAACGCCGAAGTTCCGGGTTCGATTCCTCACATGGGTAACATGTGTGGAGCCCATTTGTCGGTGTCCCCGCCGTGATATTGCTGGAATGTTGCTAAAAGCGGCTTAAAATCATACTCACTCACTCACTCACTCGTTCCCAAGTGGAGAGGTTCACACTCAATTCCTTAATCCATGGGTCATTTGTCACTGAACGTGCTGACTATGGGTATTAACTGACGGCCCAAAGAAACTTTACCACAATGTTAAATCACCCTAGTTTAAAACCACAAAAGATAGATGCATGTAAAATGTATTGAAATAATCACACGAAATACAACATTTAAAATGACAGCATCCGATATTGGCATGACAGTTGGACGAATAGAGGTCGGGTAGCTAAAACAAGCTTTCAACGTAATGAACAAAGGGCACACACATCTTAAATCGCTCAAGTTCAATGACACGTCATATAAATAGTCACCCCCTGCTTCAAGACAAGCAAACAATTTCCGGCGCACAGAAAAAGTCAGTCGTCTGATGACGTCACGTGGGATACGTCTCCCTTCTCGGAGGTCCGGGAACACGTCGATCCGTGACATCATAGAGGTGTTCTTTAGGGGACATGTCTGTGGAGCGTGCAGGCCACGGCAACACGTAGACGTTGTTGGTTGCAAGGAAGCTCTGAACGATTGCAACTGTATGGGGTTGTGCGTTGTCTACTTTCCGTTTACGATGAACAGTGGTGTTCTCTCCTTCCAACACATTCCTCACTGCACCATCCCACACCATAAGACCATTGACGGTACATATGCTCTGTAAATCCTGCAATCGATCCAAATCTACAGGGCAGTCACCATGTTGTGTATCAACCGGATATATATTTCGTAACGCGATTTTGATTTGACTATGCATAGACACGTTAGTCCAGCCAAAATATAAACACCATAATTCAAGCCTAGTTCGGCAAGGGTGGAAAGTGGACTTTTAACACCTTCAGCGGTAAACACGCTGTCTTCCATCAACTCTAAACAGACAGAACCGGCTTTCATCAGTGAAGACGACCATCTGCTTGTCACGTTGCTGCCAACGACGTAATGTACGGGCCCATCTCAATCTCTGAAACGTCTGACTGTAACGTTGCATCAGGTTAGTTACAGCAACAGGGGAGCAACCAAATGCTTCAGCAATGTGGGCTTGGGAGGCTCCATCCGTATCATACCCAGGACCCGCTCGCATTGTTAGGGTGTCAGTCGTGGAACTTTTGTGGAGTGTCTGACCGGCCGTTCGTATCATTTATATACCCTCATTGCAAGTGTAGTTTCAGCTGCCCGGCGGCACGTGTTTTTAACTTAACAAAAACGCCCCGTTGAATTGAATCACTTTCTAAAAAGAACATTTTTGTGTTTAGACGATGTGTTTTGAAGTGATTTAGTTTGAACTTGTGTTTTTATTTTTTTTCCATTTCTTTTTTAAAGTGGTAAAGTTTCTTTTGGCCATCAGTTTAGTAACATCTCTTTGTTCAAAGGTTCAGGGCAATTTGTAAAACATGTAGCAAATGTCATCTGGCGTATACTGAGAAAAACCAACATGTGAAATCCTGGACTTTGAATGTGAATTTGGGGGTTAAGACATTTAGGCAAAAAGTAGGCATCACCAAGAAAACAAATTTTGATCCCCTTCTGGCCGATCTGTGTTTTTTATGCAGATGAATTGCAATTTCTGCTCAGATTGGCCAAATAAAAACAAGAGGTTTAACTTCAGCTTCAGGTGTATCTATGATCTGATGTCATTCAGAATAGCCAATTCCAGTTTCATCTGTTTCAGATTTCATATCTATACATAAAGATTCAGCGTGATAAAGACTATCCACGAGTCTGTATAACAAAAGGGATGTCTTCAGCTTTCCCTTCAGCAATATTCCAGCAGCTCCAGCCTTTGATGTCAACATTTCACAACTGTTGCGGTACAATTGAGTCTGATCTTTCTCCAATATATTTTGAAGAGCGTCATGCAACTCTTGCTCAAACGTTGTTTGATCAGGGGCGCATCATTCAAGGCCTCAACAACTTTCCAAAAATGTTGAGGTCGACATGTGGAGGAAATATTTACGTATTACTTCAGTTCTAATAGATACATATCAAATTTGTTTACTTCGCTGGTTGGAGTAAAACAGGGATGTATGTTATCACCAAGTCTATACTCTTAACAAAAGTAGGGAATCGTTTAATATAAATGTGTTTGAACCCAGATAAGTGTTGACGACAAACACCCCTTGCAAGAGGGGCGGTGGGGTAGCCTA